ACTATTAAAGTGGCAAAATAAGATGATGCAAGAATCTGATATGTGATACTAAAGCAAATAGATATTTGTCACAAAATACAAACGATAGAACTATTAAAGTGGCATAATAAAATGATGCTGATACGCAATACTAAAGCAAATAGATATTTGTCACTGGTCATACTTTTTACCATAATAATAAATTGATTATGCACAAACTGTGCTAGGGTATGCCTAGATATTCTAAGCAAGTCGGTCATAAATACCAATACGTTCTGAAAAGGTACCAAAGAGACATCTAGCAACCTCCTCCTCTACCACGACCGCCACAACCTCCTCCTCCTCCAGACCGCCAGACGCTTATGGTCCAGCATATGGTCTAGGCGTCTAGCTCCAGCATATGGTCTATCTTTCGTCTCATTTTTTTAGAATTTTTTTCACCGGCGCAAACAAATACGGCCATGGCTATTACGGAGAGGGTGGCTGCAACCACCAATATCCCCCAAAATAAACCAAAGCCACTTGTTTGAACGTCGCTCAATATGCTTCGCACCATATTCTCTTGTGTATATTTTGGTTAAGTTTGAGATTTTGGATTCCGTTTTGGGTAAGGATTTATATATACTTTTAGATGTGTGAAAAATAAACAGCCTTATTTGTAGGTAGTTCTTTGAATGGACAATGTTGCGTGGTGAGAAAAATAATACTCATACTATTGTCTATGTCTGGTGTTGAAGAAATTTTCCAATAATCTATTACAAAAAATAAATTTAATTTACGAAAGAAAAATTAGAAAAAAAAAAAATATATATATATGTTCATTTGAGTTAAAACTATGGAAACTGATGAAGAATTCATCAAAACCAGGATCATTTTTAGTAATAATGAAACTTATTACAAATAAGAAAGAGTACAAATACATGTAATCTCAGCTCACAATGAACATGCTCACTACTTAGCAAAAAAATGCTTTTCTAACAATGTCTTATAAACCCTTTAATCTGCTACTATTAACCTCAAAAGCAGCAGCATGTTTGCAGCCAAGTGAAACTTCTTGATTATACCCACAACAAAACATCCAAATCTTGGTATGCATTCACAAGCATCCAGCAATGAAAATGCATGGAACCTCAACTTTAACGGGATGCAGAGATGTGGGTATAATCAAAAATTCTCACTTGGCTGCAAACATGCTGCTGCTTCTGGGTTTAATAGTAGCAGATAAAAGGGTTTAGAATACAAGCTCGCCATCTGTAACTGAGTAGTTTCTGTAGCTTGTTTCTGTATTTTTCTTTATATCTTACCGAGATAGCTCTCCTGGATGCTTTAGCTTGAGGATGATGAAGATACAGGGTATATATGTTCTGATTTATACAGGTCACAATGGTCAGGATAAGCTCCACAGGTAGATCAACATCAAAAGTTAGCAAGTGGGAATCTAGCAAGGCAGAGGAGTATGTACCATGATATTGAGGTAAGGGTGATTAGAGAACAGTGTTAGCTCTAAAGTTTATGTTTATGATGGTTTATATAAGATTTCAGATTGCTAGTCTGATGTGGGGAAGTCTAGTTTCGGAGTGTATAAGTTTAAAGATTAAGGTTTCTACATCACTTCATATTTATACAGACAATAGATGATTCTAGAGCTAAGACAGCTGGACTTGACAGCTCATTACAAAAGGGATTGAGGAACAGGTTCTTGGTAATCCAACTCGAGAAGAAATCCGATGAATGAACAGGATCTTTTAATTTGGAATTGTATTCCAGGTAACTTTTCTGCTTGTCACTGCTAGCTGTTCTAGGCAATATCTTTTTTCTTCCATTTCTGATTAATTTATGAACTTACCATTCTAGGCGAAGTGCTTGGAAACTAGAGAGTCAGTAGCCATTAAAAAGGTTTTGCAAGATCGGCGCTACAAAAATCGTGAATTGCAATTAATGCGACTAATGGACCACCCTAATGTGGTTTATTTGAAGCATTGTTTCTTCTCTACAACGAGTAGAGATGAGCTCTTCCTCAACCTTGTTATGGAGTATGTACCCGAGACTTTGTACCAGGTTTTGAAGCACTATACTATTTCAAACCAGAGGATGCCTTTTTTTAATGTCAAACTTTATACATACCAGGTATGCATTGTTATCTGCCACAAATATTCTTGGTTTTTCTTATTGATCCTGAAACGGGTTAGCAAATATGTTGTGCAGATCTTCAGAGGCTTGGCCTATATCCATACTGCTCCTGGTGTCTGCCACAGAGATGTGAAACCACAGAACCTTTTGATAAGTTGATCTATTATGGGTTTGTCTTCGGTAACCATCACTAGATTATAATCCAATTCCCTGGTGCATTCTATAGGTTGATCCCCTCACTCAACAGTGTAATCTGTGTGATTTTGGAAGTGCAAAATTATTGGTAAGGTTTTACCTTATATATGCTGTTTCATTTATTTTTCCACTGATTATGTGTTCTGTCTCATGAAAATCAATTGCACCTTATTTGTTTTCATGATCCTTGCAACATGTGACTATTAACTTTAGGTAAAAGGTGAACCAAACATATCATATATTTGTTTTCGGTATTACCGAGCTCCAGAACTCATCTTTGGGGCCACATAGTATACATCATCCATAGATATATGGTCTGCTGGTTGTGTTTTGGCAGAGCTCTTTCTTGGTCAGGTTAGTGTAACTGTAAACTATTTATCCATTAAGTATCTTGAGAACTAAAGCATTTCTCCAATATCTTTGATAATCAATTGATATTACTTATCTTCAGCCGTTATTCCCCGGAGAAAATTCTGTGGACCAGCTAGTGGAGATCATCAAGGTGAAGTCTCATTTTGATTAGATTTTATAGAAAAATCCTATATCTAATTGATTTGTCATTTTGATTAACATTACTTTCTGTTTAGGTTCTTGGTACTCCAACTCGAGAAGAAATCCAATGCATGAATCCAAACTACACAGACTTTAGATTCCCACAAGCTCACCTGTGGCATAAGGTATTTTATATGGATGTTACGTTCTAACTTTTCTGATTATACAATAGCTTAGTAGAAAAAAAAAAAAAAAAAGCTGAAACAATACACATACTACTTTATGACCTCCAGGTTTTCCATAAGTGGATGCCTCCAGAAGCCATTGACCTCGCATCTCGGCTTCTTCAATATTCACCGAGTCTACGTTGCAGCTTTCTGTTTTCTTAATTCTTAGAGTGGTTCTTAATTCTTAGAGTGGTTCTCTCTGTTTGGACCTGCACTGTTCAATGATGCTGAAGCTTTTTAACTGACATGTGTTATATTTCCTTGTATAAAAGCTCGAAGCATGTGCTCATCCATTTTTCAATGAACTCCGTGAGCCCAATGCTCGTCTTCCAAACAGCCATTTTGTATAAAATATGAGTTGGTTAAGATGGTGCAGTGGTCTATGAAAAATGTGTTTATTTGCTATGTATTTCTCATATTTTATTTTTAATCAACATTATATATAGAATTAGCTTTCTTTAAACAACTTAAAACAGAACAAATGAAAAAGAACTTCAGAATTACATTTACGATTAACTTCATCTTCAATAAAAAATAACAAATGGAGACGAAAATAATTTATATTTTTGGTGAATAAATATCGTGGCACCACCGTTTTTCCTGGAACAAAGACAGTTGTCAGTGCAGGAGAAACTACAATCGCAGCCAGCTCTGTTAGCGTAAATCATAAATGGGAAGACAGATTTAGAGGAGTACTCATAGCATAAGGGTTCCTGATATCATCTATGTCATTGTATATAGATTTTGATGGTTAGGCCTGCTGGGTATATAAGCTTTGACAGCAGGCCTAACCATCGACGGCATACTTTTTAAGTGTTTTCGCAAACCTCATTCTTGCACTACCCATCTCGGGTTGCCATTGATTCTAACTAGCTTAAACTTATACACTCCAAAACCAGACTTCCCCACATCAGGCCATGCAATTTGAAATCTTATAGACACCATCATAGACATAAACCTTAGACCTAACACTGTTCTCATACTTGGTTTATGTCTATAATGGATTATGTAAAATTTAAGATTGCTGGCCCGATATTAATCGCAAGAAATTAGGTCAGAGATCTTAAAGATTTCTGATACCATGTAATGAATTGGAAAAGTGTATGTGTATTATTGATTAACAAAGATAGGATATTTATGCAAGTATGTAAAGTCTAAACTTAATAGGAGTACTTAGAATAGATTACACAAAATCTCGTAGAAGTTATCTTTCTTTATCTCTATATGGGAAAGTCTGGTTTCGGAATGAAAAACTAAGATTACATGTACTTGTACTCTTTCATATTTGTAATAAGTTTCATCATTACTAGAAAGAATCTTGAGATTTTGAATTTTTCATCAGTTTCCATAGTTTTAGATGGAGTGAACAATGTGTATATAGATTTTTTTTTCTAATTTTTCTTTTGTAAATTAAGTTTATCTTTTTGTAAAAGATTATTGGAAAATCTCTTCAACACCAAACATAGACAACAATATTGGTAAAGAATCATCTACAAATGAAAAATTACATACAGTTATGCTGTTTTTATAATTTTTTTTTTTATATTGTTAACATTTTTTCCAATTCAGAAATGGATTTAACTTTTTTTCTCTGCAAAAATCTGCAAATGCTATCAGTTGTTACCCAAATTAGAAAACGTGTTATCACTATACACTGTATTTTAATCAATTTGTATATCTGATCCGGTAACAATACTAATCTCCAAAATTAGTTGTATCAGTTATTGTTAATGGATTGCGAGGTTATCAACACTTTTCAAGTATTCACTTCACTGCTAATATCAAGTAATGAGTACTAATTACGTGATTAACGTTCTCATTGGAATCACGTTCTCATTGGAGCGTAAGGCTTACGCGCTCTATTTGCATGTGGGTCCACCTTGTATTTTTGAACAATTCTAAAGTTTAGACACATTACGCACAAATACATGATGCAACAAAAAATTTACAATTCATCTTCACTAAAAAAAGCAAATGGAGACGAAAACAATCTATATTTTTCGTGAATAAATATCCAAGAATCGATCGTTCCAGCCTGAATATCAACCAGAACAGATTGCAATAACGAATTTGTGTCCAAATGCTGCTTTTTTTTATTGCGCAGATAAGAAAAAATGCACTGATAAGTTACTGTTTATGGATAAACTTTCAGTTCCCATGAAAACAATTACAGAAGAACAAATTAGCCCTCCTGTCTTATTTGCATATAAATAGTTTAAGATGACTTGGTGACTTCATGTATAGCATTCGCAAGGTATCCCACATTCCCTGTCGTAACACCAGCCATACTGCAACCAAACATCAAAAGCCTCAATGATATTTGTTAACTTTTGAAATGCATCAAAATCAAGAAAATGGACCAAGTTAGTACCTGATACGGCCATTTCGGGTCATGTAGATATGATATTCGCTTGTTAAGCGGTCAACCTGTTTTGGTGTTAGCCCACTGTAGCAGAACATTCCAATCTGTTTCCCCATATATAGATATATGATTATGTAATTGTGTAAATCATATGAGAGAACTAATTTTTTTTTGTAATTTACCTGCTTGGTTACGTGCTCCCATGATAGAGGCGATCCTAACTTCTCAAGGCTTTCTCTCAAAGTAGTTCTCATGCCAATAATCCGATCAGCCATGATCTGTGCCGTTATAGATTTTACACACAGATTATCAGATTTCTAATTGTATAGTTGGATTATCAAACACAAAAGAGTGAACAATGGGTTACAATGTGTTTCATACGACAAGAGTCTCCGTACACATGAAACATGGAATATATTAATTGCAAGCAGAAGGAAGCTATAGGTAAGGCGATAACTATATGGTTACCTTAACTTCCTTTAGCCACAGACTCTTTAACTCTGGGTCTCCAAGAATGGTTGAGACTATTTGAGCTCCATGTAAAGGTGGGTTGCTGTACATTGGTCTAGCTAGTTGCTGCAACTGACTTTTCACAGTAACGGCTTGTTTTTCATCTTCACAAAGCACGCTGCAGCAGAAGACAAAGTAATCAAGCTCACATTCATATCTAACTTCATCACTAAATGAAGAGCCTGTATGGGTACGCTTAATGACATGTTTGAATATCTAATCGGCTGTCTCATACAAGTCGATGACTTTATTCAGTCAAGGAATTTATTTTTGCTGAGAAAATGAATACCTGAGACATCCGACCCTCTGGCCGTAGAGTCCCATGTTTTTTGCATAGGACTGAGAAATTCCAATATGATGACCATCCTCGAGAAAGATCCTAATGGACTTGGCATCTCTCGCTGGATCCCCACTAGCAAAACCTTGATAGGCCATATCAAAGAATGCAAAATGTTTTTTGGCCTGCAATGAGAACTCGCTGTTAGTCTGCGGTGGACAGATCAGGGAGACAAAAAGTGAATGATAGACAGATAACTAATAAAGTATCGACGACTAATCACCTTGAATAGCTGTGATATCTCTCTCCATTGTTCATCTGTAGGGTCTACTCCAGTAGGATTATGAGCACAAGCATGAAGGAGGAAGAACGAGCCTTCCGGAGCATTCTATGAGAAAAGGCGTAGAAGATAATTAGGATGCTATTAACAATAGTAAGATGTAAATATGCTTGCCGAAGAAGTTGTTCTTGCTAACCTTCACATCGTCCATCAATCCTGAGAAATTCAAGCCTTTGGTTTCGGGATGATAGTAATGATATGTCTTCTGAGGGACATCTGCATCTCTCCAAATGTTGTGGTGGCTGTTCAAAGAAGACAACATACACTTACAGAGTACACGGTCTTGGGTTAACATTGGAAATGATCAAAGTTAACTGTATGAAACTCACTTGGACCAGGTTGGTACAGGAATGTAGATCTGTGAACCGGGACAAAATCGTTTCTGGAAGTCTGCAAACAGTCGGCATGCTCCAGTTCCAGACAGAGCTTGAACTGCAGCTATTCTTTTGTCTTTGATAAATTCAGAGTCGTCTCCATAGGCAAGCTTCAAGGTTTCCTCCACCATTTTGACACTCCCTCCCATAGGAAGGTACTCCCTTTAGAACAATAAATATAGTTCAGATCAGTCTTACGTTGTTCTTCTTACCATGATGCATACAAAATCAAGCGTCACTTATTTTAAGTACCAAAACGAGAGAAGTTTGAACCGAATTAGACATTTTTATCTGAGGGCATTCTCAATTGCATAGTTTTAACAAGCATGCGACACTCTGCAAAGACAATTTTCCAGCCTATCACCACAAGCTATAAATTATCCAAAAAAAAGCATATGTGCAGACTTAAAGTATATTGTAAGGTTTTGGTTGATCAGCTGAAGTCAAGGTAAACAACTCGATAAGAAACAAAATGTAGACTCAAGTGAACTAAAAAAGCATGAAACACTATATAGGAAAAATAGCATCAGCTCCAGAAACAAACATCTAGCAAAATCTTCTTCTCTACGTGCAAGGATCGGTGTCATTTCCACAAATCCACAAATAATTTATATGACTTGCGGTTTCTAATACTCTGTATTGTAAAACGCAAACCAAACCGTATCCGGAAGAGTGAACCCAGCGTCTTAATATATGACTAAACATAGCTCTTTTGCTTTGACAAAGTAAGAAAAAAGAGAAAAGTAGCTATTTTGATTCCAACAAAAAGAAAAGGAGACAGTAGCAAATTAATCCTTTCTTCACAGGAACTTCACCAGTTAGCAGCATAAACATTAAAATTAGCTCATTTGAGGAGTAAAAAGAAACCAAACAATCTTACATGAAGGAGCTCCCAGCAATCCTTCGCTCAGCTTCTCTGACACATTCCAAGACAACAGGCTTGCCATTATCATCACGATATGCTCCCTAAAATTGATTTCCAGTTCAAGGCATAAGCAATACAGATATCTTCATCAACCAAAAGCAAACAGCTCTACGCTAACTCCTAACAATTTCAGCTCAATGGGTAAAAAAGCGCCAAAATGTTTAATTTCTGTTTATCCATAGGACCTCGCATGGATGAATTTAAGGTCAATTCAGAAACATTAGCCAGAAATGATCTCTTGGGTCAAAGGAAAAGCAATTAGCCGTTAGATTTATAGTAGCAGGGAGAGAAGAGAGAGAGTGACTCACCACACCAACATTAACTTTATCGGGACTAGGATCAGCGAGAAAAGCCTCGGTAACTCCGAGGATCGGATCTTTAGGAGCAGGCTCGACGTTCTTCCACCATGAAGACATAGATCTCAAGCTGAAATCGGCGGAGATCGGATTCATTGCTCGCCGCGAAGCAGCGTTCCGGATTGTCATCGCCATCGCCATGAATCTTCTTCGTCTCTACCTCTTTGATGTCAAAAACACAAACGCAGGCGGAGAGAATCGTTTTATATTAGGGAGCGTTGGAGAAGTAGCGACTCGTTCGAAGTTTGGCAGATGAGGACGAAGGAGAGACGCAAGTTGCTTTGAAAAATGGCCTTGGACTGTGTGTGAGATAAGATATAATATAGATTAATAAAAGAACCTTAATAAATAAAATAATTAAAAATATATATATTTTGGTTGTTTTGGATTTATCTGTCTTCTTGTGTCAGATTTCTTGCCCTTTTAATCTTCTTCCAACACCTGAATTCCGTATATAACATGTTACCGTATATATAATTTTCACTGTTTATAAAATTGTTTTGAATTACGGTAATATAGTTATATTTAAGTCAACTAGAATTAATATTGCTGGACAAAATTCATTTTAAATCGGTTTGAACAACCTGTTACAAAGGAATCCACTAACACTTATGACATATGACATATGGCAATAAATTTGTTAGATTATAATCGAATGTGTGTACTATGCAACAATGAAAATAGTTTTGTCCATCCTGATCAAATATGACTTGGTAATTAAGAAGATTTTCAACAATATGTGTGAACAAGGCAAGAGCTCTTTTTTTTGGTTGACAAAAATTTATAAATACGAAATCTCATGCATTTTCAAATCTAAAATAGCTCAATTCTATCTCAATTAAATTCATATAACAAGAGATAGCAACCAAAAAATAGTCAAAAAAAATTAATATTTTACATAAATTAGGTATGATTGGCAATAATACCAATAAATTCAGAAAATCAGTTCGATCCAAGAGATAGTTAGTATCATTCACACAAAGCAAACAACTAATTTAATCCTACAATGAAATAGAACGAAGTAAAACATAACAAATATTGATTTGATAGTCAGAAAAAAACTTATTTTGCACTTTTTCAAAATTTACCCAATTATTAATATTTATCATAGATTGTCACTTACATCCTAATTTGTATATGTGTCATCATTTTTCTCATCCAACTCATCTCTCTCTTTCTCATCTAACTCATTAATCTTCTACTCATCAGGCTCATCATCGTCAGAGACACTCCTTAATTGATTCGTCGACATACTCCCTTTTTGACTTGTCATCGTTAGACTCCTTGTCTAACTCATCGTCAGACTCTTTCTCGAACTCATCAATCTCCTCTTCCAAGTCATCACTCTCTTCCTTGGGAGAATTATGTTCATAGTCTTCATCTTCACCATAAAAATTACAAGTTCTCGCCCAAGTGATAAGGGCACAACAAACTGATTTAGTTATTGTATAATCTTCAAATGTTGAAACCAGCAACAATGTTGGAAACGGATTAGAGAACAAAGACACTCAAAAATTTGTCAATGAAAATTAGAATCCAAGCAAAAACTCAAGGTATCTCGGTACAAACCTTCTACATAAGATCAATACTAAAAGTTTGATTATAAATAAAAGATACCAAAGATTTAAGAGAGATGCAATCTTTTAAATTTTTTAATGAGTCTAATATAATGTATACATAAAATAATAAAATATTTTTGTATGTGTATATACTGTATAAATACACGTTTAGAGAGTACTTTGTTAGTTATGATAAAATAATTTACCATCAAATTTTTTTTTTAACATGCTAACTAAAAACAAATCATCAGACAGGATATAGTTTTACAAAAGTGGTGGACCTTACAAAAATAAAAGAAAATATCTCAGATAGTAAATCTCAATCGTACGTTTCACATCACTCCGGCGATCCCGAGTAGAACACTCCACCAATTTGTTGTAACATGTACAGCAATCTCATCATGTACATGTTCTTCAACCATTCTTATGTAATTACCAAGTGATAAACCAGGAACTTAAACTCCTCTTGCAAATAACAAAAGTTCGTTAATGTCCGAAAGCAATGCTGGAATGTGTATAATCTAATGCAGAGATGGGGAGCATAGACGAGCCACACATTAGGTGGCATAATACGCCCATCAATTTTGTTAGAAACATGATTTAATTTTTATACAAATTTATAAAAGTGAAGTTATTTGATTCTAAATCTTTTCACAAATAATATTTTGAGATTATTTGATTCTGAGACTTTCAAATCAGATTCAATAATCATAATAGATTTCTTTTTCAATACAATATTGCATGTGTTTCATACTAGTTGAAACATTTGTCTCTTGAATTTATTTTTCCTCTTTTCCCACTGCTTCCCAAGTTTGTAGCCGATAACCCAAAATTGCCATTTTCCAAGATGCTTATTCCACACACATTATGAAAAGAAAAAATGATATGGTTATATGACTAAGACTTAGGACACCACATCATGTATTCAAAATTTTGTATTAGGCCTCTAATTAATTAGCAAATAAATCTGAAATTTATAGGAGAGTTTTTTTTGTAGTTTTATCAAAAAAAATTATATTATAAATCTTATTATTGTGTAATGGTGAAAAAATAACAAACCATTTAATAAAAAACAAAAAGAAAACAAACTGTTATTACTATAAACTGTCGAAGACGGGTTTTTGCTGGTTCACCAGGTTTGAGCAAGTTTTTATGGGTTTGAACGATTTAATAGCATCCGAGTTTTCAACAAAAATTAAACTGAAAACTTTGCTGGGTTGCAGTTCAACAGATTCGACCATCCGGTTCGGTCTGGATTTAAAAACATTGCATTAAACCACAATAATTTAGATCAATATGTTTTAAGTTATTTTAATACATCATCAATTAAGAATTAATAAAAAACTGACACGTAATTGAAAAATAAAATTAAAATATTTTTTTAAAGCCGAAACTTATTGTGGAGCTGATACATAAGTAAAAAATTCTGAAAATAGCTGAGAAGTCGACACATTAACTTTTCACTACACAAATAAGTATATAGATTATTGATTTTGGAGTAATATGTAAATGAAATCATTTTTTGTCCATCCCTAATAAAAATCACTTGGAAAATAAATGAACAAAAGATTAAACAAAATTATTAGAAGACGACATTAAGAAATACAAAATTATTAGAAAATGAAAAACAAACAAAGTTACGGGCCAATGCCCAATGAGCCTCTAGGGTCGAGGGCCTACTGCTAATTTAGGATCTTTTTGACTATACATCTTCACCCTTCAATCTCAGCCTGGACGAGAGCAATAACGAGTGTGTGAAGGAAGATATTTCAATGGAGGAGAACATTGACGGCAAAAGTAAGATTACTCCTTCAATTCCGGCTAATTACGTCAGCATCCTTCAGCTCCGGGAGCGTTGGATCAACGAGCGGAAGCGAAAGGAAGAAGAAGAAGAGGAAGAGAGACGACGGAAACAACAGGCTGAAGAACAGCAAATGATTGAAGAAGATCTGAAGAAATTAGCGGAGGTTAAAGCAAAACGGGAGGATCTCGATGAAAAGCGTTTGAATCGAAATAATCGGAAGCATCAGGGCAGGAATAGTAAGAAAGAGGAGTCTCTTGACGGCGGAGAAGCTGAGAAGGAAGAACCGGAAGTCACGGCGGCGATAGGGAGCGAGAGAGGTGAAGATGCGGGAGTACCGGAGAGCAAGAGGAGGTTTCGGAAACGATATGATAGTAGGAAGAAGAAAAATCAGAATTTGGCGGCTACGAAGGAAGATGTCGTCGACGAGTGTGGATCAATCGCGCCGCCGGAGTACGCCGTGACGGAGAATCATACACCGGTGAAAGACGCGATTCTAGTTTACAGGAAGAAAGGAGAAAACGCGACGGGAAAGAAGAATGTTGAATCTACTGTTACAGAAACACAATTTGAGAATCCTTGTATCAAAAATCTGAAGGCGAAAACCAGATCGAGTAAGCGTAATGGGCTAAACCAGAGGCATGATTTGCGACCTCAACGTGTGGCTGTGGAAGATGATGTCGTCGAATGTGGAACGGAGAATCATACTCCGGTGAATGATCGAGTTTATAGGAAGAAAGGAGAAAAAGCGACGGGAAAGCTAAGTGTTGGAACTCGTGAGAAGGCCATAGAGACACAATTTGAGGATCTCTCTATCAAAAGCGGCGAAGAGAAAGGAGAAACCAAGAATCTCAAGGCACAAACCAGCAGGCGTAATCGTAATCGGATAAAGCAGATACATGATTTGCCTCCTCGACGTGTTATAGGGGATGCTACAATGGTATGGGTGAAGAAAGAGCAAAACGAGAAAAGCTAGTGATGGATTTGGAAGTGGCGTGTTAGCTTTTGCGTAAGGTTTGATGAAATGTTGCTTCTTGGTTTCATTACTAGGGTTTATAGTTATTGGTATAAACTGAACAATGGTTTCAGGTTTGCTGCTTTAGCAATATCTGGTTGGTAACAGTCTTTTTCATGTTCATAGAACAGAGGAATCACTGTATTGGCTTAAAGATAATGTTACTGCAAATGTATATAAATTTGAGTTACAGAACATGATCGCAAGATCAATTTGGTCGTATGCTTGTACAAAGCTTGAAAATATACATTCAGTAAAAATTGTTGAACCGAGTCCCAAAGAAAATGTTGAAGCTTGGAAATGTCGTAAGATTGGATTATCTAGAACACATAGCTTTGGTCAATATACCAATTCAATTTTGAACATTTACTTGGGATAGTATCACATCCTAGAGCTCGAGTTTGACAATAAAATAAATTTACAGAAGAATTAAGTATCACAAGTATACAGATTCATTATCATTTTAGACAGAAGCTGGTGTTGGTGTTGAGGTTGGAGTTGCTGTTGTTGAGGTAGGAACCCGGTTTTCCGGTGGGATTTCAGTATACTCAGAGAGAATCGCCCGGAATTCGTCGCCTCCAATAGTTTCTTTCTCGAGAAGCACTTCAACAAGCTTATCCATGGCTTCACGATTGTTCCTTATGTGGCTTAGAGCTATCTCGTATGCACTGTCGGAGAGTTTCTTAATTGCAGAATCAATGTCTTCTGCAAGCCTTTCAGACATGGAGTTCCTTGCCATCATCCTCATGATGACATCGCTTTGTGCTGATGAATCCATCAACGACCATGGTCCAATGTCAGACATTCCAAATGTTGTTACCATCTGCAAAGTAAATAAAGAACAGCCTCAATATCGTTTACTAGTAGTATAAGATCAGACTCATCACCAGGTGCGAGCATTGAAAAGTGTAGGTTACCTGCTTGGCCAAACCGGTGATCTGTTGCAAGTCACCAACAGCGCCAGTAGTCACCTCGGGCTCACCAAAGATGACTTCTTCAGCAGCTCTACCACCGAGTCCACCAACGATTCTTGCAAAGAGCTGTTGCTTGGAGATGAGAGTCGGGTCATCTGATGGTATAAACCAAGTCAGACCTCTCGCTTGGCCTCTTGGTATCAACGTTACCTTTTGCACAGCGTCATGTCCTGGAGTCAATGTTCTGCAAAATAACAATGATTTAACTTCAGAGTACACTCTTGCTAGGACAATTATACTGAAATGCTTTTGATTTGGTTCTCACTTACCCACAAACTGCGTGACCAACTTCATGGTAAGCAACCAAGCTTTTGCTCTTGCTATCTGTCATCACAGTTCCTTCCATGCCAGCAACGATTCTGTCAATGGAGTCATCAATCTCTTTAGATGCTATCGCTGTCTTCCCACGCCGGCCAGCCAATATGGCGGCCTCGTTCAAGAGGTTAGCGAGATCTGCTCCGCTAAATCCAGGTGTTCTCATTGCAATTACTTCAAGTGAGACATCATTTTCAAACTTCTTATTACCGGCATGAACCTTGAGAATATCTGTTCTCCCTTTAATGTCTGGAACGTCAACACTTACCTGCATCAGAAACTCATAAGTAAGCACCAGCTCTAAGAGTAGTATATATATACCAAGGTGCATTAATCAGAGAGTACCTGCCGGTCAAACCGTCCTGGCCTCAACAAAGCAGAGTCAAGAATGTCTGCTCTATTGGTTGCAGCAACTACGATAATACCAGTGTTACCTTCGAATCCATCCATCTCAGTTAGCAGCTGATTGAGAGTCTGTTCTCTTTCATCATTACCTCCACCAATTCCGGTTCCTCTTTGCCTACCAACAGCATCAATTTCATCTACAAAGACAATGCAAGGAGCGTTTTCCTTGGCTTTCTTGAAAAGATCGCGGACTCTGGAGGCACCAACACCGACAAACATCTCAACAAACTCAGAACCAGAGATGGAGAAGAAAGGCACACCAGCTTCACCAGCAATGGCTTTCGCCAAAAGGGTTTTCCCGGTACCAGGAGGACCAATGAGGAGAACACCTTTCGGGATCCTGGCACCAACCGCAGTGAATCTCTCTGGCTTCTTCAGAAACTCCACAACTTCCATGAAATCTTGCTTTGCTTCATCAACTCCAGCAACGTCATCAAACGTTACACCAGTGTTTGGTTCCATTTGGAACTTTGCCTTAGACTGACCAAACTGAAGTGGGAAACCAGGACCACCAGGTCCACCCATTCCTCCAGAGGACCGTCTCGAGAGAAGGAACAAACCACCAATCAAAAGCAAAGGGAAAGCGAGGTTACCAATCAAGTTAAACAACACAGAACCTTGGTCTTCCTGATCATTATGTGCTGCAAAATCAATATTCTTGGCCCTCAGCTTCTGGAGAAGCTCTTGGCTTAATCCCGGTAGCTGAACACGCACACGCTGAACACGGTTACCCAACTCGGGAGAAACAGCTTCCACAATAGCTATTGTTCCATTCTCATACAGATCCACTTTGTTCACCCTGTCCTTGTCCAGATACTCTAGAAACCTAGAATATGACATCCTTGAAGAAGAAACCCCTTGTTCATCTGCATTTGCTTTCCCGCTTCCAATCAAACCGATTCCGGCGTTTCCTAACAAGATCTTGAGAAAATCTCTTCTTCCATCATGTTTCTTCACATCCAAAGAAGCCTTGACGACATTAACCTTGGATGTTCTACTAACTGAGGAAAAAGTTGTGGAAAGACCAATCTGTCTCCGGGAAAAATTCTTGCTTAACCTCTGTTTGGTTGTGTAGACTGACAATCCATTTCCAACAAGACAAGCTGATGAAGCTGCCATCTTCTCTTCAATGAAATCAATCATGAACGAAAAAAAAGAGTAATTAGATGATAGCAAACGAGGAATACAACTTAACATCCTCAAACAAAACGAGAAACCAGATTTTGCATATGTAAGTTTCTGGAAACAGTAAAAGCAAAGAGGTCTAATTAGAACTATGACAAAACAAATAAAGGAAAAGCCACAGTAAGTTTACGACTAATATGTCCATCTTGGTCACCGAAATGAAACCAAGAAGCTAAAACTAAAACAAAGCTACGAAATCAGAGTTTACCGAGAAAAAATTCAGTCATATTCAAGCACCAAAGAAAGAGGAAGAAGACGAACCTGTATCGATAGCAGATGATAGTGAACAAGGAGAATCTCGCGCTGTGAAAATTTGGAAGATGGAAAGAGGAGAAGAGTGAGGGGGGACTTGGGGGATTTTTTTTTTTTGAGGGGAACAGATGTGGTTCATGAAGAGCTAACGTGTCCTCAATTTAGTGGTCAACTAAATTAACCGAATTTAACCACAACTGAATTGGATTATCCAAACCCAATTTTAATTAAAATTGGTTTACTCCATGAAAGTTACACCACTGAGAGATCAACGTCGAAGTTCGTTAACTGTCTATAAGGTTTTGAAGTGTTTGGGTGAACTAAATTTTATATTTTAGTTGGATGAGACATTTGACAACTGTGGACTAAATTGAAAAATATAATTCTTCGAACATAGATTCCAAATCCGGTTTGAACTTGACGCATTGTCATTGGAGAATCCTTTCGAAAGTATTAAAGATTATATTAGCTTCGTGTAGAATGATTTGGCCCAGTCTCAGAATATGAATTAGAAGTAGAATAAAGAAGTTTAATCCAAAACCATGGAAATGGAATATTAAAAAAAGACATATATGGACAGTTAAATGATCAGAAATGATGTTAAAGAAGGTGTTTGAAAGCAGAACAAGGAGTTTGTTGGCGCATGTCTCAGACGACCATGTCGGTTTCATGCTTCCATGATACCTGGTTTCATGAAAGATGCCTGTGGAATGGAATGAATAAACATAATTAAGCAGCGGATAACAACGCAATAAGATTGATTTCAGATGCTTCTTCTTAGCATACTCAACACGAAACTAAGATCATAATCCCAAACAAATCAGCTTTTTATAGCTCGGTCATGGACACACAGTTAACAATTTGGCTATTCCCAACTAGCAAACTAAAACGATCTCCAAATACATTAACCATATAGGTTTATATTAAGCAGATGGATCGAAGTCGCTCTGCTTTAGATTTGAATGCAGAAGATAAGATCAAACTTTCACAACCTTTTAAAATCCATTCTAAGCACAAAGATAAAATAAAAAGTTAACATTTTAAATTTACAAAAAAAATAACCCAATCCCTACAACATCTAATTTTTGTCAACTGTAACTAAGATTTGCAAGGAGACAGCATATGGGCATGTGCATCATATATAAGCACTCAATGCAGTTTCTAGCAACCGGGCGATATAAAATGTCAACCAAAAGAATGTGATAAAATCACAAAAAACAAGTTAATCCTCTAGATATCTGAATCAATGGAACATAGATAATTCACCTAACTAGAAATAGAAACTAGTATGACATAAACACAACAAAAAGGTGCACAAAATATCAAGAAAAAAGTTACCTCCTGCAAAGCTCTGAAAAGTAGCGAGATCCATTGTATAGAATAAACCACATCAAAATTATCACCAAAGAATCTGAAAACTAAGTTAAGGAAAAGGCAAAATCACCTTCTTTTTTTTGCTTGAGAATCTTTCAAATATGAAATTTCATGCATTGTCAAATCCAGAATAGCTCAGTATTATCTCAATTAAGCTCAGCAGCTAGAAAAACTAAACAAACAAGAATTTCAATCTTTTAAGCAAATAAGATAAGATTCGCAATGATACCAAAAAAACTCATAAAGATCAGATCGATCCCAAGAGAAAGGATACTCAAAAGGTATCGTTCCCACCAATCAAGCATGTATAGCCCGAAGGTGACATTGTAAAGGTAGATTTTTCGTTGAACCCAATTCATATCTAATCAAACCCTGCAATGAAATAGACCGAAGTAAAACGTTATAAACCTTGATTTGACGGTCGCAAAAAAGTTTCCAAAATTTACCAGTAAGAATCAGACAGTGAGAACGTGAACGATAAAGAGATTTAATGATTCAAAAAGCCTTCGAAAATCTCCGATCTATGATGTATTGAATTTCGATTTAAAGCGTCGATGAGAGAAATCAAATATTAAAACCGCGAATTTTAAACTGGAAATACCTACGAAATCTCAAACGCCGAAGATATGTGTGTGTGCGTCTGAGAGAGAGAGAGCGTGATGGTGAAAGCGTAGGACCACTTGAGCCAATTATATTTCACGCGGTTTAGTGGTATGGCTTATATATAATACCGGTTTAATAAATTCTAATACAAACTGAAATTGGAGAATCTTCTCGGTCGGATCAAATCCCGATCGTCGAGGCCGATTTTAATATTTATCTATAGGATGTCCTTTTGATGCTTTGGATTTTACTTACAAAGAAATTTTACTCATAGAAAAAGTTGGTTTGGTTTGACTCAAACCGTTTGGTGTAATTTTCACTGTGGATTCACTTTGAATTCTCAGGCAAATCAAGTTTTTGAAATTATTAGCCAATCTAGTAGTGGTAAATTCTGGTGAACTTACTACTCTGAGACCTGTACAAAGCTTCATATTTAAAAAATATAGTGAATGGTGTAGAAACTAACTTCACAAAGGGATGCAAAAAAAAAAAAAAAGTCAATACAGATGAGACTTCTGTAACCAAAAAGAGGGAAAAAAAAGGAAAGGTCCAAAATGTAGAAAATAGCAAAAGAAACTAGCAATTATTTGTTGTTTGCTTGGGATTCAAGTTATGATACTGATTGCAGAAACCTCGTGTGATCTGGTAACTTTTTGAGGCTTCCGTGTTGCCTGCACAAGAAATGGAACACAAATTAAGAGTAAGAGATAGACCTTGGCTTAGAGAACAAGCAATACAAAAATGTTAAAAGTTTCAATTACATTATTACTACTACTCAGTAGCAAGTCATGTGGCTGGAGCATGTGAATCACATCTCCCATTTTAGGTCTCTCTTCTACCTCGGCATCGACACAGCGCAAGGCAATCAACACAATCCGTTTTAGTTCCTTCACTGTAGGAAACTCGGGCAGGCTAGGATCAAGAACATCTATGATCATATGATTCACCACCATCCCTTTGATCCAGTCCACCAGATAAACCTACAAAGAACAACATTGTTAGTAAACAACAATCGGTTTGTGCTAAATTACATTATGTATACTCACTTGTGGTGAACTTTGGTGTACAGAGACTCTCCCGGAGACAAGCTCCATTATCAAAGTCCCAAAGCAATGAACGTCGATTTTCTCATCAAGATTACCAGGTGATGATGGAATAAAAGCTGAGTTCATTGGAATATCACTGTGACTTGGGATAGATAGTATTATCTTAGGGTTCCATTGATAATCAAGAAGAATCTTGCTCGGTCTTATGTATTGATGAGTGATCCTTGGTTCAATGTCTTCGTGAAAATACGCCAGTCTGGAAACACAAAACATAGTCAAACCACAATGTTTTATCCCAATCATTCATGCATAATAGAAATCAAAGAAAGAAAGAAAAACAAATTTAATAGCATAGAGAGATCATCAAACCCTTTTGCTGCTCCTTGAATGATCTTCATCCTCTTTCTCCAGGTCAGAGGCTGATTTCTCCCTGCAGATCCATGCAGCCATTCATGCAAATCGCCTTTCTCAACGTATTCGTACACAAGAACCCTAAAATTCATTAAGACTTATGAGTCTACATTGCAACGCAAGTAACATAGCACATGTAGACTATTTATATAGTTATACCTCTCGTCTCCATGAATACAGTACCCGAGGAGCCTCACCACATTCTTGTGTCTAACGTTTGCAATCCTCTCAGCTCTTGCTACGAAATCTTGATCTTCATACCTGATTTAACTCTTGTCTCAGATCCAAAGATTAAGATTGTATAATATTTTATGAGGAGATCAAGTAAAAGAGTAAAAACAAAACCTTTGAGAGATTGGGAAGAACCGTTTGACAGCAACAGAAACTGTACCCATCAAGAATCCGCGATACACCATTGAAGAATCACCTTTAGCAATCAGATTCTCATCTGCAAAGTTCTCTGTCACTCTCTGGATCTCCGAGAAAGTAAACACGGTGAAGCTTCCAAATCCGCCGGTAGAGGAGAAGCTTCTTGTGTAGTAAGGAAGATTAGCAGAGCACCAACCAACCTGAGAGAATCTCTGGCTATCTCCTTCCTCGACGCAACGGTTATACGGGTTCTGTCTTCTGTCTTTGAAGGGAATGTGTGACGACAAAGGCAGACAAAGCTTTGTTCTTAGTCTGAATGGCTCTTGTCTACATCTTTTCCTGTGAAAGATGAAACAGAGGAAGACAAAAACGATGAGAGCGATAAGGAAAGCTATGGAGGCGGAAGCTGTGATGAGGATCCATAGCTTGATGCCGAAGAATGAAGTGTGTTGAGAGAGTTTGTGTTCGATCAAGTCTGATCCTTGTGATGATATGATTCTGTTCAGCACTCTGAGTCTTTGTGGTGATAGAAATGATGAATCTTTGAGAGTGTGAAACATTAAGATCTCCAACAAATGCTTCTGCATTCTCGTTTGATTTTTTTTTTTTTTCAAATTTGAAGTGCATTTTAAAATGAGTGCAAGAAAAATTAGTAGTATCTAAAATGTAGCATAAGTGGTTAAGAATTTTGTTTGACTGTGTCTATAACAAATACCATAGAGTTTTTAGGGGTCATTATCTTATTCATTTCTTCGAGTTAGAGAGTTAATTAACGTGACTCTTAATTACTTTAACAGAACCGATTTCTTAATAGAACAAAAAATGTATATTTAGCGTGAAATTATTTGAATGAATTTTTGAAAAAGAAAAAGAAACGGAATAAGTGGATAATAGCCATAAGATTAGGAGAATCAAAATTTCGGATAGAGTCGGTCCAAAAATAATCACTTTTCATCATTTGTTTTGCTAACCAATATTTTGCCCCCACCTGCTTTTCTATTCATTTGTTCCTCATTCCGTACCCCTGTTATTTTCTCGAATAAAGAGACAGTGAATTATTTATGTGTTCTCTTGTTTTCTTATCATTACCTTTTCAACACCGAAAGTTGAAAATTAAAGACGCAAACTTTAATAATAAGGGTCTAAATATTTTTTAAATATAGCTATAATTTACCTATAGGTTACAATAAGAAAGAAATGTGGATCTGAATGAATCATGTACAGTGAAAAACATATGAATTATAAATACACAAAGTTGGTGTGAGATTAGTCAAAAGTAATTAGTCATCTAAGTTTGTATCATATTTGGGTCCTACTTCAAGATAAAGTCAAATCAATCAATTTGCTATATTTCCCCAAAAGTAAAGGAACAATGAGTATTTTTTTTTTTATTATTATCTATCAGCTACCTTTCATTATGTCAAACTATAATAAACTGCTACTGCATTAAGTTTGTACTGCAAATCGCTGAATTTTTATCAACAATGAAAATCGCTTTACCAAGCAAAATTTTAAAGTTCTAAATCTGGAAAAAAGAATTGCACAGAAGAGTTTATTTATAGTGTAGCTATAGGTTTTATACTGTTATACATGATCTGACTAATTCAAGTTTTAGACATATATATATATATATAACATGAACCATTTATGTAATATTATAGGAGTATGTAATTGTGGATATATGGAAAGTATATATAATTGATGACAATGTAAACATGTTGAATAGATTTACGTTCTACAAAATTCACATCCTTGTAAAAAAGAAATCAAAGCCAACCTTAGATTGCAATCATTTTGGACATGATCCGCAATTTTGATCTTGGTGGGAATGTTTAGACGTGCAACATTCTCGGATGGAATTGTTTGACCGATCGCGTATCTATGCTTGAGGCCCTCAAGCTTAGATAAGTTATAATTACTACAAAAAGGTGATAATTACAGAACTTTCTGGTTATGTAATGACTGAAGAGTACAGAAGATATATTTTTTTTTTTTGTCATCTGAATTTATATTATAAAGCTTGTAAAAAGCACATTACAAAGATGATATTAACAACTCAAAACAGATTGACCTTAGAGGCTCACAAAAAATTATCTAGCCTACTCATAATATAGCCAAAAAAGAAAATGGAGAATAACCTAAATTACGAAGAGGGCAAACCGCTCTCACTTGCAAAGATGTCGTGAAGCCAACGAGGATAACCAGTAGCAACATACGACTGATATCTATTCCCAGATATAACACTTTGCGCAATGAGAGAAGCCCCTCTATTCGTAGCTCCTATTTCTAATTCCAATCTCCAATCTTTAAAATCCTTTAACCTTAATTTAACCTCTGAAGCTTGGAATTGAAAAGCAGGCCAAGCCTTTGGTCTTCCTATCGCACCAAGTAAAACAGAGTCTTCCAAAGCAAAAATCACCTTATCAATATTGTGGCTGTGAATACTATCAATCGCCCACAACAGACACTTTAATTTGCCATCTTCCTTTGAATTGATCCCAGCAAAAGCTCTTCTACTATGCATCAGAACGTTCCCCGTCCAATCTCTAAGAACCCAGGAAGAACCCATCGATCTCCATTTTCTTGACCAAGCAAATCCCACATTACATTTGAGCAGTGGTCAAGCGGTTTTTCCCATCTCCTCTGCTTTTTAAGCTTTCCTGATGCTGGAGAAATACAACTGGATGAGTTAATGATTTGAGCATTCACCCATTTAAAAACTTCCTCAATGATTTTTTCCACCGTCTGTATAGGAGAAAACAAAACTCCTTCAAACAAGGATTTGTTTCTGTTTTTCCACAAATACCACATAATCCAAGGGAACCGCCTTCTGATCAATAAGGGAATTTTAGAGTTTTTTCCAATTTCCATAACACTATGAAAATTGGTATAAACTGAGAATTCATTAAAACCAGATTCTGGCAGAGGAAAATCCGCAAGAGCCCAAACTTGGCGTGCCAAAGCACAAGTGAAAAGAACATGGTTGATGGATTCACCTTCAAATCCACAGGCTTGGCATCTATTATCCAATTTAATTCCTCTTCTCCCTAATAACTCAGTTACAGGAAGAGCTCCACTCAACGCTTTCCAAAGAAAGGATTTAATCTTAGGAGATGTTTTTAGGGACCAAACCTGAAGCTTTAAATCGTTTAGTGAAGGTTGCGCTGTAGCCTCACGAATCAGGTCTTCATTCTTAATCTGATTTGCAAGCCAATATCCTGAATGAACAGAATACTCTCCTCCTTTGTTGTGCATCCATACCCAAAAATCATCTTAACTAACAACTGGCTGGTGTTGAAGGATAAGATCGATATCTCTCTGATAGAAAAGTTCATCCAGACTTTCTTGGATCCATCTTCTATTAGGAACGTCGATGAGGTCGTGAACCTGAAGGTCAAGGTTCACCGAGAAGTTTTTAACCATTGGGAGGCGCATACCATTATCAAAAACCCATGGATCCATCCATACTTTTGAAGACTCCCCATTTCCAACCATCTTCTTTAAACCTCTCATCAATAATTCTCGACCATGGAGAATACTTTTCCATGCAAAGGATGATCGAGTTCCTGCAACAGCATGAAGGAAAACATCATTGTCGAAGTATCTGCTCTTCATCACTCTGGAAAAAAGACAGTCAGGTTCTTTAAGGATTCTCCAAGCCTGTTTTGCCAAAAGGGCTTGATTGAAACACTGGATGTCTCTAAACCCCAAACCACCTTGCTCCTTCGATAGACACATCTTTTGCCAGCTCACCCAGTAAATCTTCCTCAAATGTTCAATTGAGTTCCACCAAAAAGAGCTCATAGCACTTGTCAGTTTTTCACATGTTGTCTTTGGCAACCTAAAGCAAGACATAGCAAAAACAGGCATTGCCAAAGCAACTGCTTTCAGAAGAATTTCTTTTCCTCCATGCAATAAGGCCCTTGCAAAATAACCAGACAGTCTCGATTTCAGTCTATCTTGAATGTAATTCAACATATCAACTTTTGACCCACTGAAACATTCCGGAAGACCAAGGTAAGAACCAGCACCACCCTCCTTCCAAATGCCAGTGGCTTCTCTGATTTTGACCCTAACAACTTCTTCTACCTTTGATCCAAAAGTGATAGAAGATTTGTCCACATTGATGACTTGACCAGTAGCATCACCGTACGTCTTTAGGATTTGGAGAAGAGTGTTGCACTGGCTTTCAGAGGCTTTGCAAAGTAGTAAACTGTCATCTGCAAAAAGCAGATGATGCACTGAAGGACCCGATTCTGAGAAGCTAACCCCATTCAAAAGACCTTCTTGTTCTGCCTTGTTCAAGAGGTGAGTTAGACCTTCGGTACATAGCACAAACAAAAAGGGGGATAAAGGGTCACCTTGACGCAAACCTCTTTCAGGAGATATCATACCATGAGCTTGATCATTAATCAAAACAGAAAAAGACACCGTTGATACACTTCTCATAATCCATTCAGTCCATCTACGATGAAAACCCATAGCATCAAGTAAAGACCTCAGATAGTTCCATTCAACTCTGTCATATGCTTTGGACATATCAGACTTGATTGCCATAAACTCATCGGAGATGGTAGGGTGCGTACGGATCCCATGGATTAACTAGTGAGCTACCAATATATTATCTGAAATTAACCTTTCAGATACAAAAGCTGATTGGTTTGGAGACACCAGATCAGGCAAAAAGGGTTGAAGTCTTAAAACCAAGATCTTCGATATTATCTTATACAAAACTGTACAGAGGCTGATTGGTCTTAAATCTGTCATTAGTGAAGGATTGACAGTCTTTGGCAGTAAGCAAAGCTGAGTGTAGTTCCATTCTTTAGGGAAAGAACCTGTGATGAAAAATTCCTGAATCTCCGAAGTAACTTGATGACCCACGATATCCCAGTATTTTTGGTAGAAAAGCCCTGTCATTCCATCGGCTCCAGGAGCACTTGATGGCTTAATCGAGAAAACCGCAAGCTTCACCTCCTCCTTAGACACATTTTTAATCAGATGCTTGTTCATATCTTTAGTAACTCTCGGCTGAAATCCTCGGAAAAGCTCAAGATAGCTATCAGGATTTGACGATTTGAAAAGGTCTTTGAAATAGGCTGCAGCCACTTCTCCCTTAGACGCATCAGAGAAATGCTTGGATCCTTTTGCATCTTCTAGAAATTCTAATCTTTTTTTCTGTCTACTGGCTTTCACAGAAGCATGATAGAATTTAGTGTTCTTATCACCTTCTCTCAACCAGTTTTCTCTGCTTTTTTGACTCCAAAAAGATTCATCTTCCTTGTAGGCTTCCAATAACTTGATTTTCAGAAAATCAACCTGTTTACCACAAGGGTATAAAGCAGATTGCTCACACTCCAAAGCCACCTGAATCTGGCAAATTCTATCTTGAGAATTCATGTTGTTCTCTATTTTCCAAGCACTAAGAGATCTTCTGCATTCACAAAGCTTTTCAGAAACCGAAGCCTCAACACCATTCTTCTTCTTATTCCATGCTTCCAAGATGGCTTCTTTAACATTTGGCTTATTCAAAAACCTTTTGTCAAACCGAAAACTTCCTTTATATGAATCTTTTGCAGAAATCAGACTGATCAACACAGGCCTGTGATCAGAAACCCTTTTGTCAAGAAAGGCTTGGTTAGAGGCTGGGAAAAGCTTGAACCAATTTTTGTTACCAAAACCTCTATCTAATTTGCACTGAATCCATAACTTGTACCTCATTCCAGCCCATGTAAAACTGTTGCCCGATGATGGCAATTTTAACATCCCACACACTTTTAACATCTCTGCGAAGCCCATAAATGAAGAATCACTTCTTCTCGGACCCCCAATCTTTTCTCCATTATGCAGAATTTCGTTAAAGTCCCCCAACATACACCAATTCTCCTTTCTGTGAATACCAATCCTCATCAGTCTTTCCCAAACCCCCTGTCGAAACTTCACATCAGGGTTCCCATAAACACAAGAAACAAAGAACTCGTCTTTTCCAAACTGTACATGAAAATCCATAAGATTTTTATTTACAAACTTCATATCCACAGTCACACTGTTTTTCCAAAGTAAAGCGAGACCGCCACAAGTCCCAATTGGATCAACGGTGTAAATTCTATCATAACCCAACCACTCCTGCAAATCCACTAAAACGTTTCTATTATGCATCGTCTCCATCAAGAACAGAATCTCTGGGAAATGTTTTTTACGCATTTCTTTGAGACGCGGAATTGTCAAGTCTTGAACACGGCCCAAGCCTTGGCAATTCCAACTCAGAAGACTCATAAATCTTTGGACAGTCCCTCCTTTGGGACCATCTCATGAGGATTTGGCTTTGCAGCTTTGGATACTCCTTCCAATTTTTCTTTGTCTTTCCTTTTTTCCATCACTCCCATCATTAAACCTTTTTTCTTTGATCCTTCACCAACTGAAAAATCCACCATTGCACCTCTAAACTTCCTTTGGTTTTTGCCAGGCCTTTTTCTTGGTTTACTCACTTTTAGTTTGGTTCCGGAAAGATTAGCCTTAGAAGGACCAAATCTATAACCCGTTGAACCATCCTGAAAAGGAGAAGGAGAACCAAAAACATTCAATGACGAACTTTCATTCTGCATAATAATATCACCAGAGTTCTTCGAATTTGGATCTGCAGCATGGATAGCCGCCGATAAAAGCTTTGGACCATTGGGTCTAATTCTCTCCGATTGAGTCGAGGAGTCCTCAGAACTATACCCGAAGACAAGACCTTTTCCTTTAAGAGGGTCTTTGGCGATAATCGGAAGAGGTTCCAGTCTCAGAATAGATTTTCGCGAAGTCTCAGAGGATTCAGCTTCAAGAACAGATTTTTTCACTCTTTCTTCTCTTATCTTTCTTTCTTCACCATCAACTACAAGAAGATATTGCCGCATCCCTTCTAAAACTTCTGGATGAATGCAGGGACGTCCTAAAATAGGATGCAGACCAACCTGTTTCTCTTCCAGAACCCCAAACAGAGGATCTGATTTCTTTAGCACCGGAGACTGAGGCGGTTTTTCAAAAGCTTTACCCAACCTTCTGTTTATGGCTTGATCTTGTCTCATCTTCACCAGGATAGGACAAACATTTTGCTCATGTGTCAATCTATGACATGAGTAACACCTTTTTTGAACCTTCTCGTAAAAATACTCAATAGTAGCCTGACCTGCACCTCTTGGAAGATTGAAAACTTTCGATTTTCGTAAAGGCTTTGAAACATCAAACTTAATTAGAACACGGACGAAACCCCGACTTTGAGACTTCTTTGGATCGAAGGCTACCTCTATGACTTGACCTACCACGTCTCCAAAAGTAGTTATGGCTTCAATGGTGTAATGATTCACCGGGATGTTCCGAAGTTGAACCCATAAAGGCACAAATTGAAGGTAATCTGCAGGAGGAACATCCACCCATCTTTCGATGGCCAAACCCCACTCATTAAAGGTCTGAAATCCTTTCGCGAGAATTTCATCTAAGTCATTCTCCGTGTCGAAAATGAACTGAAATCTTTCCACAGATAAAGCTACCCCACGAGCTCTATCATACTTCTGCCATTTCCTTGGCATATCAAGAATCAAACTTGCCATCTTTTGACACTCAGGATTCAGGAGTCTTCCGATGATACTGAAAACATTCCGCTCACAGGAGCTATACTCAGGAAGGTCCATCATATCAAAAGGCTCATCTTCTTCCTCCAGGGACATCGCCATCAAAGCTTTATCCATGGCTGCCGACATACTTAAAGAACCAGGAAATTTCCAAAAAGCTCCCAAAAAATCGGATGAAAATCTTCAAACACCTACTCTAATATACACACGCGATATCCTAAAGAAAGGCGGAAAATTATCGGTTGAAAGAAGGATTGGAAAAAACACAAAGAACAAACAGATATTTCTTTGAAATCAAAAGAAGATCTGAAGCAAAGTACACACTAAACGAGGATAAGGGATAAGATTTTCAAAAGGGAAAGAGGTTTCCACTCAAAAGCTCTATCAATATTCAAAGGAGAAGCCTCTAAATCAAACAGAGAGTCTTAAGCCCAAAAAAGGGAGTCCTTTATGTTTCGATTTCCGGAATTAATCTCTCTCAAAAGTACAGAAGATATATTATCTATTTTTTTTTTTAGTTAAAGTATATTATCTATTTTTCCCTTCGTTGTTTGATGTTTTATCTTTCTAGAGTAACCATGAAACTATTTCAAATTTCTCAATTACATGTAACTAGAAAACATAAATTGTGAAACTTATTTTGAAAGTGTTAATTCCAGTATTTGTGTAATTGATATATTCAGATTAAGTCTTTATATTTTGATTTTTTTCCACGTTAAAATATGTGGTTAGAGTTATACTAGCTTTGGATGTGAGGCCCACTAGTCAAATTGTTTATGCTATTTTTAGCGGCAAATTATTTATGCTTGTGTAGAGGTTCAAGAAAGAAAGAAAACTAATGAAAAAGTCCTTATTGTGACTGAAATAAAGTAGAAAAGAGGAACCAGGGAATAGAAGAATCAAAAGTGTGAAAGAAAAACCATCATTACAGGCATCACTCACTCGAAGCAGCCCACATTACATTTTACATTGCCCACAAAACCTAAATCTCAAACAAATAATAATTACTCTCCTCTCTCCCCCCTTCTCCAGCAATCAACTCCGTAAGCTCAACTTCCAAACACACAGCTTCTCTCTCTCTCATATATATAAAGATGCATAGCTGATAAGAAAGATTTGGAGAGAAAAGACAGTAAGATTCAGAGCTTTCAAGAGAAAAGAAGAGTTTGGGTTGCGTTTCTTGGAATGGGAAAAGGCTTCAGACTAGTAACCAGTCTTCTTCTTCTCTCCCTTCTCTTCTCAGGTTACTTTTCTCAACCCATCACTGAGAGAAGAATACTTTTACTTTTTTTTAATCTAATAATGTAAATTTTCTTTTTGATAGTATAATTTGGTTGTTGCAAATTTTCATTTAGAAATTGTTCTAGATGCACAGTCATGTTTGATTTTCTTTTTCTTGAGGTAATACATATTTTCTGTATACAGACTTGGCTCTGGTTTTCTAACCCACATTAGAAAGGTTTGTAATGGATTTTATGTAAGAGATATAACCCTTATAAATTATAAAATTTGAATTTCGTTTTACTGGAAAATCCCAAAAAAAAAAAGAATTATTCTTTTTGCAAAGAAAAAAATATAACGTTCATAGCTTGGAATTTATTATTTTATAAATGCGGAAAGTTAATCTATGTCTTATGACTTTTTATAAAATCTCTAATCTATCTTTAAGGAGTTGGGACTTTTTTTTGTGCAATTTTCTTTTATGAAGTGTTTTTCTTAGGCAACATTCCTTTTTCTTTTCATTTTCTTCCAGATTCAAGTATTTTCTTTTCGTTATTATCAATACTCTGAATAAATAAATTCTTTATATATAGACTTAAGGTGAATTATTTTCTAACAAATTTTAAAAAATTGAAGGTTTTTTTGTTAACATGTTTGTTAATTTGGAGTGGAGTCCAAGCTTGCAAATATTCTAGTCGTTACTTTTTCTTGTTCAGTTCAAAGATTCTCTATTGTCTTTATGTTTATTGTTTGTAAGGTTTGTCTTTGTTTCTAATCTTTTTTTAATCTAACTTGCATATTACAGCAACTTATCTTAGACAAGATAATAATATTGTTCTAACCTTACCAACCAAATCTCAGACATTAATTATGATTTTACAGGTACAAAGGCTAATAGTGAACCAATAGGAGAAGAAAAAGACATAACCACACCATTAGCCACAAACCCAACCACAACCGCAACAACCGTCGTCCCTAACTCCAACTCTGACGCTTCCGCAGTTGCCACAACGCCACTAACGATTCCATCATCGCCACCACGCGTTGCAGCCCAGCCTGGCGAAAGCTGGTGCGTGGCGAGAGAAAACGCAGCAAAAATGGCGTTACAAGCGGCTTTGGACTACACGTGTGGGATCGGTGGAGCAGACTGCTCAGAGATTCAAGAAGGAGGAAAGTGTTATAACCCAAACTCGTTGAGAGCACATGCCTCTTTTGCATTTAACAGTTATTACCAGAAGAATCCAATCCCTAGTAGTTGCAATTTTGGTGGAACTGCTGTCACTATCAGTGGTGACCCAAGTAAGTTTTTCAATCTTTTATTTCTACTTTAAAATCCATATCACTGTTATTTAAACTCTTGACGTTGAGTATAGTCTCCCATTTGAATGACAATCAGTTGAAATACCAAAAGAAAAATGGTTTATATATATTTAGTAGTTGATATTGAGCATATTTCATCTTGCAGTGAGTAAAAAATTATCAGTGTGAGTTAAGATGGTAGATATATAAGATATGATATGTCATACGGATTCAAAGATATGAATTAACAAATTATATTAAATGCACACCACTGACCACTGTATAATTTAATGACGACTCTAAATCTAATACTAATAATAAATCTTGATACTCGTATTAGATCTAACAAGGTTAAGAATTGTGTATTCCATATCAATCTCTTTCGTCACAAATTTATCTGTCAAAACAAACCCATCGATTTTTTTTTCTATTTCTGTTGACAGGTGTAGGATCATGCCACTTTCCGTCTACAAGGTGAGCAAGATCATATCTTTCACAAATAATTCATTATGTTATAAATTTATATTAGGATTTGTGAGATGATGAGGTTAATTTAAATGTGATAATTGCAGCACGAGTGAATCGATACTGAACATAACAAGTGAAGATGGATTAGGGCTTTTTGGGAGACCGTCACACCCAACTCCCAAGCCCGAAGCTTCAAGCTCCTCTTCCTCAACTTTCTCATTTCTCTACTTCTACTATCGTCTTATTTGCTTTTGTTTTTACATCCCTTTGTTATTATCACCTTAATTTAGTTATGTGAAATCTATATATCAAAAAATATTTAGGCTAAAGTCTATGTTTTTTTTTTTTTTTTGCTTCATTTCCGAACCTAACCGCGCGTTGACATCTATCTCTAGACGACTAGACATATCTATAAAGTGTAAAAACATATCATCCCAGTTCATAAAATAATACCATGTTCGAATCTAAATCCTATAGTACTAGCTAGGTGTAATTTTCGATCATGTCGGAGGCTTATATAATAACTTTATTGGTCTACGTACCAGAACCGATAACATTCAAGATTATGCAGGATTATACACAGTTCTTTTTTGGCTCTCTTTAGCTTTTTAAGGCAACGTAAAATAATAATTAATTGAATTGTCGTAAGAAAAAAAGAGATAATGAAATAGCAAAACTATCTTATGTCAAAAAATATACATATGTATACATTATATGTAGTAAAAGTGTAAAACTAACTATCTTAAGAATATGGATTTAATATGCTCTGAAAAATGGTTAATATATAAGATTTTGTATTTAATTAAGGATATTGTATATATGTTAAATATGTGTATATCACTTTTAATTACTTTTCAAATAAATTTATAATGTTCACTAGATTCTACCCGTGCGTTCGCACGGGAACTATTTTTTATTTATCTAATATAATTTTTGTTTTCTGTTTTCTTTATATATAATTTTTAATAACTAATATAAAATTTCTATTTAAATATAATTTATTTCTATTGATTTATTTATTTTAGTTATATATGACCGTAATTAGAAAAAATTATTCTAACCCGTCAGTTTATATTAATATGAAAAGTATCATAATTAAAAAATGTTACTATAACATATTCATTTATATTAATTTAAAAAACTGAAATTATTAAAACATTTAACATGTATATTTATTTTATTTGTATATTTTAAATATTTATCAAATTTAAATATTTAAATTTTATACTTATTTAATAAAAATATGCAATAATATATTATTTCATCTCTATCATTTAAAAATATTATTTAAATTTGAATATATAAATTAAATCTAAATTAATATCTGGGTTATTATTTTTGTAAAGATATAATAATAATTTATAAATTTTGATGATATAACTTATATTTAAGGAAATCTATAAGAAATCTAAATTAAAAACTAAATTTTTGGATTTATTTTAAAATAAAAATAAAAAATATATTATTTTATTAATATTACATTAAATTAACTTATTTGGTAAATTTAAATTATAATTAATATTTTTGTTTGGCAACAAAAATAACAGTTATCCAAAAATAAAATAGTAGAAAACTAAGGAAAAAATTTTGTTTGGACACAAAACACCCTTCTCTTTTAATAGTATAGATTTTATCAATTTTTGTTATATTTATCAATTTTTAATTCATATTTACAAAGACTTTATCAATTAGTTATGGTTTTATAACTTATTCATGTAAAAAAATGTTCTTTTCCTTCTCTTTCTCAATGGTTCTTTTAGTAGACCTTTGCAATTGCATTAGTTGGGCCGAATCCTGATTTCACAGCCGTCCATTTCGTAACAGAACGAGAAGAGGAATTTGGGTGATTTGAAAGTGAAGGGCTTTGGAAGAGATGAACAAGAAATTCCGAGCAGAGGAAAAGTATTCGATCAAAGGTAGAAGAAGGTGATGAGCCGAGGAAGAAAATCAAGGGTCTGGAATCAGTTGTTGCAGAGAGAAACAAACCCGAGTTTGATAAGTGGATCATGGAGAAATGAGTGTGTAGGAGGCGTTTTGAGAGATTAGGAGAAGAAGGTATGAAATTCAAGGAAGGCTTTTTATGAATCTTGAATTTGAAATCTTTTCTATGGAGTCTTGTTTCCTTGTTAGGTTGAGAAACTTGTAGTGAATTTTTGGTTTAGCTTTTGAAACCCTTCTTAGAATTTATCCATTACTTATCACAAAAGAAATAACCTTTTTTTTGGGGTTTATTGGTTCTTACACAAGTTCTTGGGAACAATCAAGATATCAATGGACAGAAAATAAAAAACACAAATACAAAACAGATAGACACAATCTGAAAAGCAAAATCAAAAAGGGTGGTTTCTTTCTTTCCTCTGTTCTTCTTCTTCTTCCTCATCATCTGGTGAAAAATTCGTTAGTTTGTCTTTTGATCTTTTCATTTTGTAGTAGATGTCTTGAGAAGATCAAGAACTCCACAACAGTTCTTCCACCACGGCGTCGTCTCAACCCCTCTCTCACCACTTAACAAAGGCTGCAAACACACATTCCAAAAACACGATGAGATTTACAAATCTTTCTGGTAAGAGACAGTAAATGGGTTTCAAGAATTAAGAGTTTTGCTTTAAAATCTATGGACCTGATTGTCTGTGGATATGGGAAGGTCTCGGCTTGCAACGGTGCTGCTCGACGCGCCACCAACAGCATTGGTAACAGCTCCAACGAGCTTTGAGGAAACTTCGGTTCTCTTCTCCTCAAAAACATGAAGCAAAGATTTGGCTCCTTCTATACCTCTTGACAGAGCATTGTCCACTGCATCTCTTGCCTATAACCACACACCATCATATTACAATATGTTACTTTAAAGAGACAAAACAAACATGTCAAAAGAGTTTGAGAGTGACCAAGAACCGACCTGTGTAGACACATCAGACACTTTCTCTGGTGCGGCTGCAGCCTCGGTCTTGACCGTTTCAGTGGAGGCTGCAACGGTTTTCTGAGCATCGGTTAGAGAGGTCCTGGCGGTTTCAGTGGAGGCTGCGACGGTTTTCTGAGCATCGGTTATAGATGCACCGACGGAATCAGCGGTCGTTGTTACAGATTCCTTGGCTTCATTAAGAGCAGAAGTTGCCTTCTCCAAGAAAGATGTCATTTCTTTATCTGATGATGTTGGAATATATTTTTGTCAGAGAGAAAACAGAGATTTATATAAATAAGATAGAAGAAGATTTGAGAGAAATTTTGTGAGAATGTGAAACTAAGTGAGCTGTTAAAGAGGGCTGTTTCAACGCCTCCAGCGAAACAAACTATTTGAGAATCTCTAAAACGTGACTTCCTTTATCAACTCTTGATTTTGTTTGACACCAGATTTATTAGCATCATTATTATAATTATATGTATCAACAAATAGGCACGAGTATAATAATAAGGTATATTTGGGGGGGGGAAATAATTGGGTTGCATTATCTACTCAGAATGGGTTGATGATTGAAGTATGAAGTTGTCCTACATTCAATTGTATTGCCAGCTTCTTAATTCACATTACCAACTAGTGACAGCTCCTTTTAATGCCCCACTCTTTTCTTTTCTTTTTTCCTTTTTCTATGAATAAAAAGTTTGAATATTCGCTGCAAACTTTGAAACGGTATGGTCACTACTGTAAGTCTGTAACAGTGCACAAACACGGTTGATACACCATTAGTTGTAATTAGCGTGGTGCAATTAAAGATATTTGATACTAGTAAATCAAACTAGTAGGGCAAAAGTATCCACTCTTTTTAGTATTTAAATTGTTGAAACTGTTTCATTTTTACGTTTTTTGTTGTAAAGCCAAATAATATATTGATCTGACTGGTTGTTATGTTTACCAGAAAAGAAATTGGAGTAAAAATAATTACTCTAAGGTTGTTGAAAACTAACCAATCAAAAAGACAATGGTGTAAAAATAATTATATTCTCAATTCCACTAAAGTGTATAATGATCCCACTAAAACTTAAATGTACGAGTGGAAAAACTTTTCTTTTACTCCAAAGATAACTTTTACCCAGACATTTAAGGATTTAAATTTGTTTAAGAGTCATATCCTATTACCTAACACCACAGGTTTAACGGCCAACCAATCAGCCCCAAATGATTTCTCGATATGAAAAGTCAATTTGAATATCATTACTAAAAATAAATCCACAAATTTTATGAGTATCAGATTTTTACCACATCTAGGTTACACGGTTGAGTTTATAATTATATTTCGTTTTACACAAATTCAAAGATTTTGTGGAGACGCCATATCAAATAATCAGTTAAGGTTGTTACTTTGCTACAAATGCCTTTGTTCTCGACTCTGTAATATTTGTGTATTACACAACCATTTCCCGCCATATAAGTTAATATATCAAGAAAAAAAAGTTATTTTCAAATAGCTTACAATTCCTTCAGATACGAGAACTCGGCTAACGAAGAAGGATCTTTCCGGCTAGTCGGTTGTTCTCAAAGTGTCTACCATAGAAAACATTTAGTCCATCATTTCTTTTAAATAAACCAATACAAAAATATGTTTTTATATTATTTCCAGGTTCAGGGACCGAGAGAAATCCAGTATTGGACCCATAAATGAATTCCCGTCAAGCCATCTGCATTCAACAAAAGTTGCAACATCAATAACAGGAATATCTATATATATCCAGATTCAAATTTCTAAGATAAAAGGAACTTACAATTCAACTAGACCAATCAGTTTGGCCAAATCAGAATATATAGTTCCTGTCAACTTCATTTTTGGCAGTTTACTGCAGTTATAAAAGAAAAAGGCAAACAATTAACCAAAACAAAATTAAAATTTGTTTATGCAATGACTTACACAGCAACAATTCTAGGCTGTGTAAGCAAAACAAAAATTAAATATAAAGACAATATAAATTATAATTAACAAAATATAAAAAAAAAGGAAAACATAAGTAAAAAAATAAAACACTGTACAATTTGTTTTGATATTGTGAATGTATCATTATACTTTTAAGATACTTGTTATTAATTAGTTTTTTTGTTACTATATTAGTTTTTTCTTATAAAAAAATGTGTATTATGTGTCGAATGCCGATGTGAATTTGTGAAGTGTACATTTATAAAGAGCCTTTAAGGATATGATCAAAAGTTTTCCTCTTTCTGTTCATTCTCAATCGTTTTCCTTTGAAACAAAAGAATGGATCGAAGAAGAAACAAAGGTGTTGATGGTGCGTTTTGCCATCTTCTTTCACTCCCTAATGAATGGATGGATCTTTCACTCCCTAATGAATGGCTGGAAAGGATCCTGGCATCTTTGAACCCATCTGTAAGGGAAATCATCCGTCTTCGCGTGGTGTGTCGATGTTTCAACGACCTCGCTAGAGTCAGGGTTTTTATCATTCGGTTGACCCAGCCCTTACGGTGGTAGAACATGCGGCAGCTCCACACTACCCAATCTTCCTGAGGAGATTTTATGACGCCGGTAATCCAGGTGTTCTTTTCATGAAGGGCAAGCATACTTCTTTTTTCACGATGTCGAAGGTGTACAGATGATTAGGCGTGCTGCAGACAGAGGATACGCTTGCACCATTTATGTGTACTGGATATGGCTTAGAGCAGTGGTGGAAGACCTAGTATGTGCTGAGGTGTATTTGGGAAGACTTACCATGTAAATACGGAGGATTAGTAGGGATTTGTTGGTCAATGAATCGCATGGATGAGATTTCCAGTTGCCAGTCGACTTCACTGGGAGAAGGAAAGTCTTTGCTCCACGATTCCATTCTCTTTTCTTCTTCCCCTGCCGAGTTCATAATTATGGGGAGTCCTGGTATCAGGGCCGGCCCTGAGTTAAGGCAGGTAAAACCCTTGTTTCAGGGCGGTAAAAAATATATAATAGTTTGAGGCGTCAATTTCTGAATGTGCATTGTAGGGTAATGACAAAACGTTGACTTCTACATAATAAGCACCCAAACTCGAATCTAGAAGGAAACATATTTTGTATTTTTTTTAATAATGAGTTAAAATATATTTTTTTTGCTTTAGGCAGCCAAACCCATTGGGGCGGCTCTGCCTGGTATGATGAAGATTGGTTTGGCTAGGTCATAAGGTATAGCTCCTATCAACTTCCTATCAACTTTGATAGTTTACTGCAGTTATAAAAGGAAAAGGCAAATAATTAACCAAAACAAAAATTGAAATATATGTATGCTTAAAAGGTGGAATGACTTACACAGCAACAACTCTAGGCTGTGTAAGCACAATAAAAATTAAATATAAAAATAATATAAATTATAATTAAACAAAATGTAAGTAAAACATAAATAAAATAAAAGGAAAACATAAGTAAAAAATAAACCACTGTTCAATTTGTTTTGATGTTGTGAATGTATCATATATACTTTTAAGATACTTGTTATTAGTTTTTTTTGGTACTATATTAATTTTTTCTTATAAAAAATGTGTATTATGTGTTGAATGCCGATGTGAATCTGTGAAGTGCACATTTATGAAAAGCATATACGAATATGATCAATTCCAATATGATAATACTATAAAGTTTACGGAATGAGATTTCTCATTTGATCGTGGGACCTTTGTTTGAAAACTACACTATAGATGAAAATAACTGATTCCAACATATCCAAATCCAACTACTCTATTGAATTTTGTGTGCTCGTAATATTTATTTCTCCACATCGACTTTTCGGTTTATAAAGTAGAAATTTTTTTCTTTTGATATGCTTAAAAGAGGTACACTTATAAAAATAATCTAACTTATATATACAAAATAGTCTATTGTTTTTCTAGTATACGTTAAAAAGTACTACTTTGAGATTAACCTTAAAAAAAAAAACTTTGAAAATTTTACTCTAAGCTACTCTAAACTTTAAACCTTGAAATTAAATTCAACGTCCGAAAAAAAACAGAATGTTATATTTTCTGTAAGCGATTAATCTTATAATTCTAGGTTTTTATTTTCTAATTATCGTATATCTCAAAACCATTATAGGCCTTTCAGTGGTATAAGCCCATATATAGTTTTGACCAAAAATAGAGCCCATATATAGTTAGCCCGTTAATACATTGAAAGTACCAGCTTGCCCCTACTCTTCTCTTCTATTCTTCACTATCGCTCGTTTTCCCCGTCGCCGGCAAAACCCGACCTCAGTTATCGTTAACCACCGTTTATCAAACTCCTACTCGCGTGCTATCTGTCTCGCCATCGTTGATCTTTTGCAAGAGGCAAATGAATCATCTGCAAAGGATTCTCTCTGCTCGTCGATTATCTCCCTCAATCATACCTCCGTCGTGTTTTCTTCACCGGCGATTATTCTCAACCTCAGAAACCGATGATTCGTCGGCATCATTTTCCTCTTCGCATCACAAGATCCAAACGCCCGAAGACGGAGCTTCCGATAAAAGCCGAAGCACACCGTCGACGACATCGTCACTCAAGGAACATGAACTTGCCAAATTCTCTGCCATTGCTGATACCTGGTTCGTCTCGCTTGATTAAAGTTCAGATAATAGTTACATTTCTATAGTGAAATGATTGTCTTTTAATTCGAGGGACAAGAAAATACATTTCGAGGAAACGATCATAAGTTTGGATGCTTAAAACATCTACAAAAGAAGTAAAATTTGTCATAAATACTATTTGGCTTATGTATCCATGATTAAAAATGTGGTTTTTGTGGACAATTGAGTTATGTATCTATGATTAATAAGGAGTTCTTTATGCTATTGAGTTTTATTGTGTAAGTAGTTATGTAAAGACTTGGAAGATGTGATCATTTACTTGGTGGCCTCAATAATGTGTTGATGGATTCTTAAAAAACAAATAATCACTTCTTGAGTTTTGAGGGATTCATGTGATTTCTTTTCTCTGTGTTCTTATGTGAAGGTGGCATTCTGAAGGGCCCTTTAAACCGTTGCATCTAATGAATCCAACTCGGTTGGCTTTTATCCGCTCGACCTTATGCAGGCATTTCAGGTGCATTACTCTTAGAGAATTTTCTTTTCCTTTCTATTCCTGGCTTCCTGCTATGTTGGAGATGTTGGATTAACCTTCTTGTTCGTTCTCAGTAAGGATCCGAGTTCTGCTAGGCCTTTTGAAGGACTGAGACTTATTGATGTAGGTTGCGGCGGCGGACTACTATCTGAGGTATTCCTGCATACCTTAACCTTTGTTGGGGAATGTAATGTTTCTATTCTTCCTTTTATAGTACAAGTCTAAGTTGAGCGTTTGTGTTGGATATAAGAAGATTTGATCACCAATGGCCTTTTGTTGTTTTTTTGTTTCAAGCCTTTAGCACGGATGGGAGCAACTGTTACAGGAATCGATGCTGTTGACAAGAATGTCAAGATTGCTCGCCTTCACGCTGTAAGGTCTCTTACTATGTCGTTGATTATACGTATAACTTGTGCACTGGATGTATTGTCATGTTATGTTCATTTAATTTGTGTCCTCCATATGATGAATTAGTTTTCTTGAAACCTATTTATTTGATCTCTACACTTCAGTCCTTGCATTCAGAATGGTTGAAGAATATTGAACACGTTTTCACATTATTGCATTCTATCTTGACTTTTAATCTTTGTTGTATGTCAATTAATTGTCTCTGCAGGATATGGATCCAGTGACTTCAACGATTGAATACCATTGTACTACAGCAGGTATTTTTAACTAATCTTAGATGATGATCAATTAAAGTTACATGAATCTTCTGCAGAAGCTGATTCTCTTATATCTCTTTTCTATGCTTAAGTACTAAATAATTTTTTTTTTCTAACGCAGAAAAGCTAGTGGATGAAGGGAGGACTTTTGATGCTGTTCTTGCCTTAGAGGTACTTTTTCCAGTCCATCGACGTTGCATTTCTCGCTTCTAATATCATTATCATGGCAATTTTCTGATTTCTATAATGAAGGTCATCGAGCATGTAGCAAACCCTGCAGAATTCTGCAAGTCGTTGTCAGCATTAACCATCCCCAACGGAGCCACAATACTTTCTACAATTAACCGCTCTATGCGAGCATATGCATCAGCCATTGTTGCAGCAGAGTACATTCTACATTGGGTAATCTTCAGTTTCACATCTTATTTATCCTCAGTGAACATTATTACCTTGCGTGTGATGTTTGTTTCACATTTGGTCTTTGTATAATAATCACCTGCAGCTTCCTAAAGGCACACACCAGTGGTCAAGTTTTCTAACTCCTGAAGAACTTACTATGATATTACAACGTGCTTCAGTCGATGTAAGCCAATTTCCTTCTCATTTAGTTACGCCCATGTCAATCTCAATAACTAATATAAAGCCGACAGAAACAAGAAAAAAAATACTCATGTATGTCTTTGATTTGTGCAAGTGGTAAAATCACGAGAAGAAGGGATTCTTCTTCTGTTTTTATCTATGGCCTATCTACATTGTGGTAGATATGATAACCAAGAAACTATGGATTTGCAGGTGAAAGAGATGGCTGGATTCGTGTACAACCCGATAACAGGAAGATGGTTATTGTCAAACGACATAAGCGTCAACTTCATTGCCTATGGGACGAGAAGGAGTGATCATGGAGACATATAATTGATCATTCAAGTTGTGTTTCTCGGCATAAAAAGCTTATCTTTTTTGTTCTTAAAAGCTTATAGTTATACGGTATTCTGGAGTTGCCTAGGACAAGGACTAGTTAAATTGCAATAAATGAGAAAGTTTGCAGGAAACATCCCATGTTAGTTTTGCCTGTTACGCATCAGCAGATTTTGGTCTGGGCTACCACTTATATCATCTGAGACAAGAACAATTGTCAATATATTTCATTCATTTTTGTGGATAATATGGCATTGTTCAGAGGACTAAAAGCTCCTATATTTTCTTCCAAAGGTTTTGAAGGAAATTTGAAGAAATTTAATGTTTTTGGTTTGGTATTGTTTGATTTAAGCTCGAGATGGTCTTGATTCGACGTATAGCTAAACATGAAATGTAATATACTTCACAAAAAAGGTATTACAAGATGCTATAACTATAATGAATCAATCATAAAGCATTCAAGATATTACAAAGATCCAGAGGCAAACGACAGAACTCGGAACTTATTAATACCTGCCCTTCCCTGACCGTAACACAAACCAAAAAATTTAGGCCTTTATTTGTTGTAGTTTACAGAGTGAAACAATTACGAAATTGGAAAGGGTAAAAAAATCTGATATACAAATTAAGTAAACCATAGTTGTGATCCAGACTTGTTTTATTTTTGTGTTTATTAAAACTGATGGCCAAGTTCTTCTTGCATGTTCTCTAGATCCCATATGGCTATTTTGCCATCCAATCCTATAAATAACAAACCGATATACGAGCAAATGATCAGCTGATTCCATGAAGGAATATATGATTTTAATTTAGTGACTGACCTGAAGTGCTGAATCGCATTACTTTAGGACTCCCCGCTTTGCTCAGAGGTACAATGGAACTGCAAGTTTCAGGTGAATTTACGGGTCAGGCTCTAACAGACAATGGAGTAAAAAAGAGTTAAAGAGATACTGTCTTGCTCGTGATTTTGTAAAAGCAAAATTAGCTTAAGACATATTTTACTTTATGCAGTTATCATGAACGCCTCCACGTGATTTAGAGGATTCAGAAGCATCATTGGCCGTTGCAGCCTTTGATTGGCCGTAGAACTTCCCAAATGCTTCGGAAAACTGAAAACATAACATAATGAACAGACGGGTTAGACAAAAGAGAACAGATATTGCCAGTGGAAACTAGTGAATCCGAAAAAGAAGCAACTGCACTTACCCGAGAGACAATTATGTTTGAGGAACAACTTAGGAATAAGCTAAGGCTAAAACCAGACATATTGCAACAAATAAAAGAAATAAGTTTGGTATGTACCTGGGAACTATAACTGGAACCTGAAGATGCCGCTTTCTTCTCTCCGATGTATCTGGTAAAGCTCCTACAGACCAAAACCAAAGCTTGTAAACAAAGAAATTATTGGTGTGCAGATCATATTCAGAAGTAATTCACTGGCCTGTGATCAAAACATAATAAGAGGCTGGAAAAGAGGTAATTTTACGCAAACAGCTAGGAAGAGGAGAAAATCAAACAGATATTTCTCATAGCTACGCACCATATTCCAGTATCATCTGCAGCGAATACCATCGGGTTGCTGTCATAACCAACGCCTATCACCATTTTCTCAGAAATAAAGAGGACCTGAAACAGATCGTTCTCGATAATATATCAATTTAAGAAGACATAAGACGCAGAGAAGACCAGGTTCTCAAATGTAAAAGAAGGGTGGATGCTGACCCACATCACGAAGAGGCAAATCTCGAAATGCAACGCTTTGGGCTAATGGAGAAGGACCAACGTCATCAACAAAGTAAATCATGGAGCTATGACCTATACAAGATCACATATACAAAGAAAGTGAGACAGAGGGTAGTAAAAGATTATGTAACCAAATTGAAGTTCCATTGTATGGACAAACATTCCAAGTGTTAAGGATATTCTGACCTACATAAGCTAAGGTGTTTCCACTTGGAGACCATTTCACACCAAAAGCCCAAGAATATGAAAGATCGAGCTGAAGGATTTGCTGTTTCAACAAAGACACAGTAGAAAAAAGCTCCCTAAAATTAGACAAGGGGGTGGAGCATTATTATATTACTAAAACCAAGGAAAGCCTGCCAAAAAAAAATCAAACCTCCCCAAATTTAGATTCCGCTGATGAGCCTGCTTTTGAATCCCTGCATCAGCATATTCAGTGAAGACAAATAAGAAACTAGCCCACGTTTGCCAATAGATTTTTTAAGTAGATGTTCAAGTAATGAGCTTACTTTGTGTCAACTCCTTTAATGAATGTTGAAAATACCCGACATTTTCCATCTGTAGATGTTGTTGCCAGAAGAATCTAATGCAAACCAGGGAATCAGAGAGCACATCGGAAAAGTATACCAATAATGACTTAGATATAAGCTATTTTGTAGAATTTAAGATTCTATTTAGGGATCTTGTACTCTTTATTCTTTACAGTGGCCAACTTATAAAATAGTTTCGGTAGAGAAAGCATCTATCGAAAGCCTGATTAATATTTTAGCTACTGAAGTAAAACGAGGTTGTGTTGATTGCACGCACATTATTAGGATGCCAAGCGACACTTGTGACTGAAGATTCATGCCGTTTCCGGATGAGTTTACTGACCCACCTGACAACAGTAAAGCAAAAGAGTGTTACCCAACCAAAATACCGAAACTTTACATGAACGTCATAATATATTTTGCGAGAATTGCACACATTTCAGATTTCAAACCTCTATGCAATACACAGTTATGCATGTCAAGATGAGATAAAAACATGCCAGTAAATAACACAGTATCGACTAAAAAGAGTGTAGATAGCAGAATACCATTTAATAGACCATCAAAACCATTCGAAGCATAGAAGACAGGCAACATTCCAAAGAATATAAGAGCAGAAGAAGAGATTACCAGTTGTTCTCTTGCTCATAATAGCATATACAAACAGTTTTAGCACCGCTTCCAACGGCAAACTTATTCTCTAAGGGAATTGAACAAAAAGATGGGAAATAGATTAGGAGCTCCAGAAATTATAGGAAGAGTACACTGCATATTACCTATACAATGAAGCTAAATAAGACGTAAATTTTTGAATCTGGTACGTTTACCTTTTGGACTCCATTGGACACAAAGTGCAGCACGATTTAGTCTAAGAATAACCAGAGTTGGTACCCATTCACCTCCTTCCAGGCTCCACACGTACCTTTAGGAAACCCAAATTCAGTTTAACGAACTATAAGATCAGTGAACTAAGAATAAAAGGTTTGCAATTTCTCATAGCATTAAACGAAGTACAAGGTTGCTGAAATGGACTATTTCCTCTAAGCACATTAAAGGTTGCAACGTACGAGTTCCTGTCATGGGAAACAGTGACGATTTTGTTGGACGTTGAGCTCCAATCTATTCCAGAAACAATTTGGTCATGCTGCAACGATTAAATCAAAAATCATGAACTTGCCGTAAGGGAGATTCAAGCTGTCTATTGAACACTTTTCAGTGACAAATGATCATTAAAATGAAAATAAATATAACTACATAAAGTGTAGAATTCCCAAGAAGAGAAAGGAAAAGAGTGCACGCTCATTAGTTTCAGATCCAGACAGAAAGCTGTACCTTTTCGAGGACATGTAACCTCTCCCACTGGTCTTGGGATGATTTATAGATATGAACTTCATTATTGTTGGGACAAAGTGCAACCACTACAAGGAAAAGGAAACATATGTCACAGCACATAAATGGTTACATAAGGATGTTGTAACAAGACATCAACTAATGTACAATACTTTGATACCAACTGTTCCTAAACCCAACATAGCATCTCTCTGGAATCTTCAACCTAAACTAGAAAGAATATATATATATATGAAAGGATTTACCTTTTTTTTTTTCTATAACGAGGCATAAACCAATTCAATTATTCTTTCTTTGAGCAAGAGACAAACAAACACAAGGGGAAAACAAGAATATACCAGAAAGTTTTCAAATTCCATGGAATAACGAGCAATTAAATTGGCAAGTCAAAACTCAAAACAGTTTCCTCATCTATCTTCTAACCAGCAAAATTATAGATCCTCATAATATAATTCTAAAACTAAAGTTCTCATATTTTCTGTAATCTGCGTCTCCAGATTCTGTTACCTATTTACTCCTTTCTCTTCTTCCAAAAAGACTCAAAATTGATAAAAGAAAGCGAAACAAGAGCATCTCCGAATCAGAAAGTGAGAAGCTTACTGGAGTGATCAGGACTCCAAGCATGGCAAGTGATTGACTCTGCGAACCGGTGAACATCCACCACCGCCATGGGTCCTTTGTCTCCACTTTTCTCGCGGAGAGAAATTGGTAAATCAAAAGACAGTCTTTTCTATCAAATCGATATCTCCAGATTCCTGAGTCCGGCTAAAATGCGAACAGATCGAACGGAACTTTGGCCGAAGGATGGCTGAAACTCCGATGAGATCCGAAAGCTCGATGACACTTCGCAGACGTGAAGTGAAAGAGAAATGTTGTTTGTCTTTTGCGCTATGGCCAAGTTTAATGAAAATGACCAAATCAATTCCATTTTCCTTCTACAATAAATACCCAAATTAAAAAAAAAATTCTTAACAATCTTTTATTTTTAGTGTTGAAATGTTGTGTGTAGAGCATTTTTGTCACTGCATGAAGAAAAATATATTTATTTTGGTTACAAAATTTTCAAATTTATTAATCAATAATTAGTGTGATTTATATGTTCAGAAACAAAAATAATGTCAATCTGATCCGCACTAGATTAGTATTTCTATTTTTTTAATTAAAATTGTCGGGAAAAAAACTAGAAATCCAATAAACGAGACCAAAAACTATATCATAAACCAAAATGACTTTAAGACATACATGAATCAAAACAACCAAATATATATGTATAATGAATTGAGCTAGGTTCGAGAGTCTCTATATCAATGAGCAATCAAGAATGAAACAACTCAGAGTACAAGAGCTGGTTCCAGCTATCCGGAACTCCAGCAAGACACCAGTGGCTACAATCGGGGTTCTTGTGACCGCCAAATCCGTAGACCGAAGGATGTCCATCTTTCCTTAGCTGAGACATCAATGTCACGTCCATTAACCGAGCTGGATTCTTCATCGTCTTGATCACTTTCTCCACAACCATCTCTGCTCTGTGTGGCCCTGCCAAATAGATTGATCCCATAACAGGCTTGGCTTCTCCAATGCAGCTGCCTTTACCACCTTGCTTAGACCATTCGCTTGAGCTATAATATCACCAAATGTAAATATATAACCAACTTCAAACTATTTCATCAGATTATGTCTTTCAAATTCTACATCAACATGTTAATATAATTTCTAACCACATATTTGCATACGTCAGTCTAGAATTCTAATCTTATACCCAAAAATCTTTTTAATATTTTTTATCGTTGATGATTTATAGTATATTTTTATCAAATTAAAAAGGGAGCTATATAAATAAGGAACTTACTGGGTATGGTCAGGAGAGACACCTTGGAAAAAGACTTTAGTTTTGGAAGGATCAATGTTTTGATCTATCCACTTAGCCCAAGTCCTAATCGCTGTCTCATAGGCCACTAACCGGTCCATGTCTCTAACCGTTATATTCCCATACTCAACTGCGTCCCATCTGCATCCCCAAAATAGTTTACATTAGCTATATACTTACAACTCTAGACTAGTGTTAAAATATACATAATGTCATGAGAAATGAAAGATTTTACGGTTGTTTTCGGTCGGTGTGAAGCCACCAATGCCAAGAGTTGAAGACCAAAACGTCTGCGGTTTTCCATAGCGAACCGCTCGAGATTGAGTCGAGTTTAATCACTCGCTTTGGTGGGGCTCCGACTATATCCACAAGAAACGCGTTTCTTGAGAACATAATCGTTGCATTGTAAGCCTGCGCATTTGCATGCAGTTTATACACAAACCGAACCAGATTAAACCGGCTCAATACCGTGAGAAAAAAAAAGGAAGAAGAAGATAATTTTATAATGGAGTTAGAACGTTACGGGAAAAGAGAAGATGGAGAGGCCAGAAGGGGTACGAGTCATGGTGAAGTTAGCGTTTGGTGCGGCGTTGTGGAGCAAACACGTGAGAGACTGCCATTGATTGAGACTCAATGAATCTCCCACGAACATCATTCTCTTCCCTCTCATTATTCTTTCCAGAAAATCTAAGCCGTTGAATCTGCACCTCACGATACACGTTCATCACCAACAAAAATATATATATTCACTATTTATTTTGTCTCCATATGGTTGGTTGGTTAATTAACCCTTTTCATTCATTTATCTTTCTAATAGTTTTGGATTTATGTACTAGCTAGCTTCGGTTACTTAATTCCAAAAGCTCATCGTTGTTAATAACCTATAAAATTGAAATGAAGCGTATCCATATCTATAGCTTAGTTTTCGATACATTCGGTTTTAATGCCAGCTATATATCGATGGTAATGTTTAACCTAGGTAAATTGGTTTATTCTAACTACTAATTAATATGAAATCGACTATAGCGTAATGATGATTTTTTTCAATGAGAAAAGGTACACTACTAACAAATTTTACATTATTAACAGATGCATGAAATTCTGTTTTCAATGAAACTAACTATATATTGATCTACAAACTTGATTATAGATTCGTCTTCAATAAAAATTCTGCACTTATAAACACGCGTGTGTGACAATATATATCATAGATAACATTATATGAATTCCCAACACATGAACTCATATATGCAACATACTTACGGTTTTGAGCTTAATAAATCTTAAATAAAAAACGATGAAGCTCCTCAAGAAATAATAAAGGCACTTTGAGAATGGAAAAAAGTTTTCCAAACAAATGCTAAAATATGGTTCCGCAATCGTTATATATGTCTTAAAAGTCACTAGATCTACGTATCGATACATGTTATATATGTCTAAAGAAAAGGAGGAATAACCTTGGGATATTGCAACCGGTTGGTTGCCAACGATAGTTGAGGTAATCGCTGTCGGGGCGACCATTAAGCTTGCAGCTAAACTGTCTCTCGATGAAAGGGCAAGACTTGGAATCATAGAGAGGGTAAGATTTGTCGTAGACCCAACTTCCTCTATAAATATTACAATAAATTTTGTTTGATGGTGATGATAACGAAGCATTAGCAGTAGCACTCTCTAATTGGTTCAATACCACTAGCATCATTACCGTGACTGCTAATAGTCCGGTCGAAGCAGCACCTCTCATCATTGCAAAACTCACACAGGTTGTCAATGTTTTGGGTTGTTGAGGAGGAAGAATTGTGTGATAGATATTTTTGTTTTTCTTGGTGGCGTTGGTTCTTTTATACATCTAAATTCGGTTTATATGTGTGATTATATCAGAATAAGTGTATCTGGGGACTTTAGGATTTTGTTCTTGATTTATAGATATTTTCTATATCTATTTCCGTAAATGATATGTTAATTGAACTTTATAATCTTCCTTGAGGAAAGGAAACTACTTTCCGTTTTGTGTTGGATTAAGTCTAGGAGATTTAGAGGTATTAATGTTTATGGAAGTTATATCTTTTTTTAATGACACATGGAAGTTTTCTTTTTCAACTATATGGAAGTTTAAATCTATGTATTTATTACTTATTTATGTTTCATTATAATTGTTGTTTTGAGTTTTTTTTTTCATACATATTTAAGAACGTTTAAATTACTATGAGGGAGTGAAAAAAATATATATATAACTTTTATAACCGAAATCAAACCAAACCATCCATAATTGTAGTTTGGTTTTATTTTGGATTTTTTTTTTTCAAATACAGAATAGAAAAATCCAAAAAAAAAAAGAGTGAGAAACCATATTAAAACCACTCCTAATCTCTAGTATACTATGTTTGATTCACATCAGGTTCAAAACCCTGAACTACTTCCCAAAAAAAAACATTTTGGGTGAAGCAAAAATAAAATCTTACAACATACTTATCATGAGGCGGATGTAGATATACTATCACTCACAATTTGGATGAATCACTTACCGTCATATGTAAGTAACTTAGTCTAAGAATCACTTAGTGTCATGGTGGATCATGTATCGCTAAATATTCATTTTGACCAACTATTTTTGTCATATACATCAATATTCTGTTAATCAGAGGTAAACTTAAAAGGTAAAACCCTATACCCTCAAACTCAAACCTCTCAGACCTCATGAAGAGAGGAGAATCAGAAAGTGATTCTTAGAATTTTCAAGGCCATTGCTTCTCCTTCATGATACAAATGCAGTCAAACTAACTGAAAAAAAAAAACACATCTCTTTGGTTTAGATTAGTTTACACCTTTTCACACCCTATCATCATCAGCATGATTCACTTGAAAATAACAAAAATACTCGAAAGTAAGTCAAATATTTTACCACCGCGTATATCAATTCAAATTCCCTTCAAAAAACAATCTCTCAATGGCTTTCAGCATTTCTCTAAGGCCGGTTTAGTATCTTCGACCTGGTCTCCGTGGCTAGTCTCTGTGGTTGAGATGTTGCTGTTATGATCAACGGATTGGTTTCTATTCAGAGTAGTTTGGCTTTGGATATAAGACCACTTGTCTTGAAAAAGATAGAACAAGACAATAGAAGACAGTTGTGCCGTGAAGAGTATGGTCCAAAGCTTAACACTTTTTGATGTCTTTTGAGTGTAAGCGTATAAGCCTGTGTATATGTTTATGATCCCAAGTATAGCCACTGATGTTCCTAATATCCAATGTCCTACAAACCAATTCCTTCTAGTCTTTCCTCCCCTGCAATGTATTGTAAAACAATTAAAGATGCATTAGAATATGACTCAGATCCACATACTGACTAATCCTCGGGTCTGACTAATCCTCGGGTCTGACTAATCCTCGGGTCAAAAATAAGTAATGAAGATATGAATATATTTGCATCCTTATATTGACCTAATATTCTATGCAAACTCTAAATGAAATACACAGAATAATGATCTTTTTTATTTAATAAGCTGTCTTAATTTCGTCCAAGAGTAAAAATAGAAGTACCGTGGAGGCCGGAGGAAGCCAAGAAGAGCTTGGACCCATACAAGAGCATAAAGTCCAATTCCTAGCCTTTGGTGATGATTATTAAAGGAATTGTTGAAGTTTTTGATTGACAGTATCGCCCCTATTGTCACAAGTGTCAGTGCAACCATCTGTTTCATAAGTTTATCATATTGTTAATTGCTCGCTTAGTCTTCCAGGTAAACCTTGAGCCTCTGGTTGATTAGAACTTATAAGCAATAGTTAAACAAGAAAATATTATTTTTGTCTATTAATATTATTGTTACTTATTTTATTTGACTATATAGGTGAGTTTTCTTAGTTAAGTATCAAGATAGGTGAAAGAACGAATTTAAGATTAAGAAATTTAGGCTGGTTGAAAAAGAAAAAGATATTGACACTTTTGCTTGGCTATCAAGTATCCATGATTATCAGTGTGATTAACAATCTAGAACAACCCAAAAGACCCTACTAATTACTAATTAAAAACCCATGAAAAAGTTGTTAATTGGATGCAATCTTTATTCTTTAGACGAGAAAAGAGACATCTTTGCTTTTCTCTCTATCCACCCACATTCATTTGACAAATGACACTCTTTATTTCACTTTCAACTCATATAGTAGTTTCAACGTTCTTATGATTTACTTTGTTGAATTATGAATAATGTTTGATATATATTAATAAAAAAAACAACGAGAGAACAAAAAAAAAAAAAGAGTGAAACCTGCCTGAGAAGTGACATGAAGAAAGAAGAGTCGCCGACGAGTGATTAAAGGTTGGTCTTTGGTAGACATTAATCTGATGGAGATTATACCAATTGGCATTAAAACACCCATCGATGTCCAAAGCATAAAGCCATGCACTTTAATTTCGTAAACAACCTTTGGATTTAGTTTCTGTTTCAACAAGAAATTTAGAAAAAAGATTCTCATACAAATTAAAATTTTTGATAAAGCAATTAACATACAATTATGCAGTTTTTACATGGAATAAACAAACAAACAAAATTTAGTGACGATATATAAATAGCTTAATCCTTTAATCATTCTTTTTCGGTTTTAAATCATTTAACATTCATTTGTAAAAATTATGTATTCAGACAATTCAAGGATTTTCATGGTTTCATTAGATCTATATTCTATATGCTAATCATGCGGTGATAAAATAATCAATAGGCTATAAGTTTCAATACCTAAAATGCTTGGAACTCCGATGTACAGAATAATAAGCTAAATCAATGACAACAATGACCAAGATTATAAGCTTTAGTTATGATGAGAGAAAGCAAGAAAGAGGAACATACTAACCTCGGAGATTGGAGAACTTTCGAGTAAACCATTGACGTCAATGGCCAAGCTTCTGGTGTTTTCTTGGGAGGAGCATAGGGGAAGAAGAAGAAAAAGGAGAGAGATGAGGAGGTGATGATGAATTTTCATGATTTCATGTGGTTTGAAGTGGAAACAACAAATGCATAGTTTTAAATTGAAGATCATTAATTCATGAGTTTTCTTTTTATGATAAATATATAAAACAAATGGGTATGTGTGTGTGTGTGTGTGTGAAAAGAAGGATGAAGATGAGAAACTTGATCCACTAGATTCCTAGCTATAGAAGAAGAGAAAAGAAAAGTGGAGTTTAAGAATTTGCTTTTCGAGTGTAAAGAAATATGATAAAATTAAAGTGTGGGACTTTGTAATGTAGAATGGTTTTTGCATGGAGGTCGATAGCTTAATTATTTAATTTTGAATGTAAATGGAGAAAAAGCAAGTGGAGGTATGGGCAATAATCTAGTTACTCGATTGTTGTTAAATCTACTGATTTGATTTATGATTTAAAGAGAATTGCTTTAGCCTTCTAGAATAAATAAAGTCAAGTTCGAATATAGTGTTATACAGCGAATGGATATATCAACGCATTCTAAATTAACTAGATATTAACAAGAGAATGATGTTTTACTACTGAAAAAAAAATTCCAAGGATCGAAATTTTTCGGTTGTTTTAAAAAGTCAAGTGGGTCTCACTATTATTTCTGTAGCATTACTTTTTGTTCTCTTTGAAACAAAAAAATAAAACTCGAAATTCCTTAGCTTAGCTAGAGTCATCCAAAAGTAGAATTTTATTGGATTTTTATGTTTTGTGGAAGAATGTCAGAGTTTTTGTAAGGGAAAGTGAGTCATGGCAGGTTGCACTCAAAGACCACTACAATATGTTACTGTCAACAAACATCATCATGATTTCACTATGGAAGGATTTATAATGACCACATGGATAACTATTTCTCTTTTCAAACATGAATTCTAAAGAGTTCATGGCTTATGAAAACGCCATAGAAGTGAGAGACAAATTAGAGAACCAATACAAAAGGAATAAATACGTACGTATATAAATAAAAACGGACCACTTCACGTTTTGCAGCTTTCCCACTTCTATAAACCGAAAAATTGTAGACTGTCTTGGTTTACATGTCTACTACTCTCTTGTTTTGATGCTTTCGATCCTTTTCTCGCCCCAATAATAATATGTGTCTCGAACATCCCCATATCAAATTCACCGGTTCATGTCACTCACATTAAAACCATATTTCAGTACTATCATTTGGAAAATTGTAGTGGATAAAAAATGCAGACCGGTCAGGTTTAATTCATTCAGAGCATTTTATGAGATCCTACTTCTATCAGTACAGATTATTTGGTAAAAAAAAATTTGATAGGAAACGAAAAAAACTGTTTTTAGTTTTTACTATGCTTTACATCAACACTACTACTTTTCGATTATATGATGTGACATTTTCTGCCAATAGTAGCACTATCTTACGTCAAAAAATAATAATAAAAATAGCACTTTCTCCTCTCTTTTTTTTTGTCGTTAATAGCACTTTCTCAGTTTCTCCTAAATGATGAGCTTGACGCAAGTTCCTCAACCATTTACAAACCAAGCCCATTAGTGTTCCTGAGCCCATCCTCCTTTAAAGCTCTGCCTCCCAACTCCGCCTCTACATTTCTTGTTTTATTCATTTAATTTTATGTAAATATATGTTAAGTCTTCATGGATGATACGTCTCTTTAAATAATAAACTAATATTTCTTATATATAAAATGATATACTAATATTTTTGATAGTTGAGTATATTAAATTAACAAAACCAATAAATTAAAACATTTAGAATTCTCCAAATGACCGGTTTAATAGCTTATCATCCTTTTTGTATTGTACGAAGTACTCTTATCGAATTGGACCCATAAAGAACCGAAATGGTGATTGATCAATTTTTTTTTTTTTTTAAAACACAATAATGCATAATTTGAAACCACGTTGAGTGTATTCTTTCTTTATCACCGTGTATAAGATACCGTAACGGCGTAACTATAAGAAAAAAATTGATATCAAGTAAACAACCTTAAAGAAAAGAGAAGATCTATTGTTAGTTGACCAACTAGTAATAATAGTAATCCAATAATAGAATTTTATATCTTTCATTTGTGTGAATGCTACTAAGACGTACGTTGACACGAAAAATCTAAAAGATTAGTATGGGTTGCCCATTTATGGAGAGATTCAAATGTATTTACGATGAATACAACAACCAACCATATTTTTCCTTAGTGTAATAAATTATCTCAAATAATATATTCCCTTGTTGTTAGTGATCTACGGAGAAGCATTCTATCATTCTCAGTAGCTTGCTATAAATAGAGGGCATACAGCGTAACATTTTTATTCATCACTTGTTCTATCCATAAAAAAAGTGTTACAATAATATAAGCAGTTGAATCAAATGGCTTCCAAGGCTTTGTTTCTTTTGGGTCTCTTTGCACTTCTTCTCGTTGTCTCAGAAGTGGTCGCAGCATCTGAAAGCCAGTCGGGTACGTAACATTTGATCATTTTCTCATTTTCATCTAACTCTTAATTTATAGACGATATATTATTCGTCCGTTCTAAGTCCGGAAAGTTGGATTCAACGACGGTCAGTTATCTGAAGTTAAAGTCAAAACAGACTTAAGTATGGCATTTCATCCTTATTATACAAAATCAGGACCAGGACCATCTTAATGCTTTATAGATGTTTTATATAGAACGTAATATATAATGTTGTGTTTTTTGTTTTTTTACTAGAGATCCTAATACTTTCAAACATGCTAAACAATATTTATGAAATAATGTGCTGTTTTGGACAGCCACTGTAAAGTCGGAGGGTGAGGAAACAGTGCAACCTGATCACTATGGTGGTGGCCAAGGAGGCTACAACGGAGGAGGACGCGGCGGATACAACGGAGGACGCGGCGGTGGATACAACGGAGGCCGTAGAGGAAGAGGTGGTTATTGCCGCCACGGGTGCTGCTACAAAGGTTACCGTGGCTGCGCAAGGTGCTGTTCTTATGCCGGAGAAGCTGTCCAGACTCAGCCTGGCCACTAAACCTACATAATGCCTTCACCAGCATGCATGGATGCAATCAATATATACACTTATGTGTGTATGTATGAGTACTAGTAGTAAACCGTAGTGCGTTTCTAATGACGTAAGAAGAAAAATTATGGGAATAAAGTTTCATTATGTGTTGTCTCTGTTATATGTTAAAAAAAAATGTGTTGTTGTAATCTTCGTTGTTTGCGTAATAAAATCGTTTCTATTTTATGCGTTTTGTTCTTTAGGGGTTTTTCTAAGTGTTGCTTCATTATCCGTGCTGTTTTTTTTTTAATAGGCTTGGAGAAAAAGTAAATCATCGCCAAGGAATTTCTTATTCTTTTAAAAAAATTATCACACACCTAATAACGGCTCTATTTATCGAGGTTTGCATACACCAGCATGTACAAAATTAATTAAAAATACGAATGCATTAAAGGACTTCTAGTAAGCGTTAAGCTATATATTAACTAAGAAGATGTTTTTGTAAAAAAAAAAATGCAAGTTTAATCTCACTGGTCTAAGTCTGAAACAAACGTAAACAACACGAGAGTGAAGATATCAAGATATCAAAACGCATTCCACAAAAGACATAAAACAAATTGTAAAGATAAAATAACATATGACATTTTCTTTTGTTAAAGTAAAATAGCATATGCCATAATCATACAATAGAACAAACCCAAACCAGCCTTAAATTTTAGACTCCTGAGCTATAATTGCCGTCGTGAAGCATGTTCATTTCCATAATTAAAACTAATTCCATGATACATAAACTACTTATGATCTTTATTTTTAATTTTTGCAAAACCATATCTAGCATTTAGAAAATAGACATTAATAATATCAAATTTCACTTTTAGTTGTCAAGAAACAAGAACTCTGTGGATATATTTTGATCCAGAGATAGGTTTATGGTAATTCAATTGTCCAAATCAACGAGTATAGAAAAAAAAACTGAATAGGACAACAGAAAAAGAAACCGAAAATGCCAAAAAAAAAAAAAAGAAAGAAAGAGAGAACTTCAAGAATCGGTTATTTGACGTGAAATTGGTCTACTAACGTACCGGCCGGTTAAGTTTATTTGATCGCGTTGAAGAGTGAAGACAGATTCAACTGCAATTCCGCGAAACCAAACCTAACAGCAATTAAATTTCTGGGATTTCTTCTTTTTCTTCTTTTTCTTCTTCCACCTCGTCTTCTTCACCTCACACCCTCAAAGAAAACCTCTAAAACCCAACTCTCTCGACTGATCGATCAACAATTAGTTTACTCCCGATCAATCCAAGAGCTTTCCGATCTCGCCGATCACAATTAACATGGCTTCAAATGGCGCTTCTCCGGTCTCGTTTTTTCTCTCTCGATCTGTGCTACAATTTGGTCTAATTCTTTTGTCTGTTCTTCTAATTCAAACTCTAAATATTGACCCGATTTACCAATCCTACTGTCTAACGAGCAGAGAGTAGATGCTACGGAAAACAGCTTGGAAAAGATCAAGCGGCAATTGGCATCTGGCTCCGGTCGGAACTTGCTTCAGGGACCGCTTTTTAAGCGCTCTGAAACTGTAAGTTCAATTTATTTCTCAAATCTTTTTACGGGCTTTCTTCAAATTAAGCGAAATGATCAAAAGTCGCTTGCTTTATCGATTGGGTTTTATAGTTAGGCGAACTAAAGTTTTCTGATTTCTCACTATTTGACGTGGAGGATCCGGATGAGAATAAGAAGTTAGAATCCTTGTGGTTAATTTTGAGGACTTAGCTTAATTATAGAGTTCTATAGCTTAAGCATCAGCTGTTCCGAGTAGTCCTGTGTTGGCAAGAAATGTCTTGGATTATTTAAAAGGCTCACACTGTACCTTTCTATTTATGTATGAAAAGCTGAGAAAATGGAACGAACGATGGGTGATACTTGATCCAACAACAGGGAAAATGGAGTACAAGTGAGTAATATCAATTTGCTTATGTAGCTGCATTTGTGTGGCGATCACTTCATGGGTATTGTATTAAGTTCTGACGTATTTTCCTTGACTCAGGACGAGACGAAATGAGCCAACTATCAAGGGAACAATTCTGTTTGACGAGAATAGCACAATCACTATCTCTCCTGTTAACTTCCAGTATGGATGCTACTACATTCTTTTTTCTTCTGAATAATCAGCCTTATTAGGTGTATATTCGTAGCAATGAATCTGTTTCTTGTGTGTTTCAGGGGGCTTCCAAAATATAATGGTTGCTGTATCTGTATCCTTGTTTCTATTATGGTGTTGGCAAATTTATAGTCCTGTCTTTTGTCTAAAAGGAGACAATAGATGTATAGTTGAGTTTTCCTTAACAAGATTTAGATATCGGAACCCCACAGAAGAAAGATTACTTTTTGTGTGCAGAGACTCCTGGTGCAGCTAAAGCTTGGGTCACAACTTTACAGTGAGTTTTTTTTATCTCTGTATTTTCTTATTTGATTGCCAATCTCTTAGAGATGCCTCCAAGCTTAAATCATCTATCTTGTTGGGCTTTGGAATATCCAGTGCGACACAGCTTGTCCTAAAGGCACATAAAGAGGCTGTTGATTCTCTAAGCGGAAGTGGTTCTGCTACACTTGGTACAGTTGCAACCGTTGTTGCCGCTGCCAATTCAACAGCATTGGAATGTTCCAAAGAAATCCAAGCAGCAATGCAGGTCTCTCTGAGGAATGCTTTAAAAATAACAGCAATTAAACCGGTCGATGGACCACTAGATGATTTGACGATAATGAAGGTCGGCTAATTTTGCATCTCTTTCACCTCGACTTTAGGATACATTCACGGTAGATATCCATTGGCTAGTGAGATCCTGCAGGTTCTTGTTGAGTGATGTACAGCATATAGAGACATCTTACAGTAAATTTTGTGTCATTGAAGATTTAGCATAAAGCATATCGTCTATCTTTATTTCATTTTCCGTCCAGGTTAGCTTTATCGAGCCACTTACATCTTGCAGGAAACTCTGCGTGTCAAAGATGAAGAACTACAGAATTTGTCGCGAGAACTTCGTTCTCGTGACTCAACGATAAAAGAGTTAGCAGATAAGCTATCTGAGACGGCCGAAGCGGCTGTCTCTGCAGCATCTGCAGCTCATACAATGGATGAACAAAGGAAAATCGTTTGTGTAGAATTTGAGCGCTTATCTAAAGACTCAGAGAGACAGCAAGAAACCGCAAAACTGAAGGTAACGAGACTGTGTCATATATAGATATATGTAAGCATCTTTATGTATGTATTGTTGTTTGTTGATCTTTGTATCACTTATGTAGCTTAAAGAATTGGAAGACAAGACATCAACTCTGAGTAAGGAAAAAGATCAATTGGTCAAGGAACGAGACTCCGCTCTCCAAGAGGCACACATGTGGCGGTCTGAGCTCGCAAAAGCCAGAGAGCGTGCCGTCATACTTGAAGGAGCTGTCGTGAGAGCCGAAGAGAAAGCGAGGGTTGCAGAAGCAAGTGGTGAAGCAAAAGCGAAGGAGGCTGCTCAGAGAGAGGCAACTGCTTGGACAGAGAAGCAAGAGCTTTTAGCATATGTGAATATGTTACAAAGTCAGCTTCAGAGGTTAGCATATATGAATCTATCTCCCGGGGCAGCTTCATGATTTTAAAAGTGTCATAAATCTCTCGTATCTTTTAATAAACACAGGCAGCAAGAAGAGACGAAACAAGTGTTTGAGGAGAAGACCGAATCTACTAACGGCGAAACATCTCTTCCAATGACAAAGGAAACAGAAAAAGATGTGGATAAAGCATGTTTAAGCATTTCAAGAACAGCCTCTATTCCGGGAGAGAATATAGTCCATATGAGTGAAGATCAGGTAGTAAACGCTCAGCCTCCGGTTGGTGAAAACGAATGGAATGATATTCAGGCAACAGAGGCAAGAGTTTCTGATGTAAGAGAAATATCTGCTGAGAGTGAACGGGACAGAAGTAACAGCTTGGATATCACTGTAGTGACTCCTGAATCTAATGTTCCACGCAATGATCTGCCTCCTGAGTCTTTTCATCATCAGCCTTGATGATTAATTGGTAGACCTTCGTACATTTTTTTATAATCCTTGAGATTTTCGTAATGTTTGGAGAGTTGATTGTTCTAACAAACAAGAAAAGAGTTACCTTTTTTGTTTTCTCGTGCCTCAAGAGTTGTCTATATGTATCAGCAACTCTTGACTGTTGAGTTTCTGTCTGACTAGGGAAGGATTCTTTTTCCTCCTTTATTACAACATGATAAACAAAGAGATGTGTTTAAAGTTTTAAATTGTGGGATGATGTTATGTTTCTGTATTAATCTAAAAACCAGTTTGCATATAAAGGCAATATTTTTATTGAGCTAACCCTTTACATATACATTTTTTTTTTAACAATTGAGATAAAACTGTGCTTTGGTGTTTTACTAGTTACGTTCTTATTGTTGTTATTATTGAGATGATATACTTTACTTTTATTTTAGCTAGACTTTACATTGTTTGCAAAGTTTATAGGATCCTTTTAGGTCGATTGAAACCCTAGATTCAGGAGGAGCCCTATTTATTATAGTTTTCTTTCATTATTTGCTGGCTTTGAAAGAAAGTTTTCTCAAAACTTAGGTAAGAGATAATTAGGTTTCAAGGTCAAGATTAAAGTGAAGATTTTGAAAGTCTTGTAAGAAAGCCTTGAGAGGATAACACAAGAGAGGCAGAGTTCTGTTTTATTATTAAAACCAAAAGACATCGAACCTGAAACAGAGACAACTCACAGTCACACACAGTACACAGAAAGCTCAACAAACATCACAAGAACACAAACAAACCATATATCTTTGATCTTCCCTTTAAACCGGCAATGCATACTTCTCAGAAACCTCCTTCCACGCAGGACGGCTGCTAATCTTATCCCACCACGCACTCACATGCTTCCTATCCTTGATCATGTAAGCCTTCCCAATAGGACCGACCAAGTAAGAAGTGAAAGGAAGGTGAGCCAAATCAGCAAGACTCACAAAATCACCAGCCAAGTACTCGGTCTTTGAGAGCTGTGCTTCATAGACATCAAACACTTCTCCAAGCTTCTCTTCACTCTCCTTTATAACTTTCTCATCAGCAGGAAAACCCATGAGCGGTGCAAAGATAATGTTGAGCGTTAGAGCAAGTAGTGGTGGGTGGTAGCTTGTTGCCTCCACGTCAAGCCATTGCTCTACTTGTCCTCTCTCTTCAATCGTCTTCCCCAACAAGTCTGGCCCTTGTGACCTGTATTTCTCTGCTACGTACCTCATGATCGCTCGCGACTCTGCAAACAATAAAGTGATATCTTTTTCAAAACCTCAAAAACAGCAATACATATGTTACATGTAAAAGTAAAACACCCTCTTCCTCTATACATTTTTTACTCCTTCTTGATGGATCAAATCTGAAACTTGCAATATTTCAAAACAATCCAACATTCATGAACTAAGTCTCCTAATATTCAATCACAAAAATCTCTGATTCATCAATCAGGTAACAATATCTCAACATTCAAGCACATATTCTACATATCTCATTGGTCAAACTCCATTAATATATTCTTGATAAAACTCTATAACTCGATCATTGACTTAGCGAAAACGAATCGTATGATATCAAAATCTGGATGTGAAGGAGAAGGAAAGGTACCGAAGATTTTGTAGTCTCCGTCAACGAGCACAGGGATTTTACCGAAAGGCTGCAATCGAACAAGAAAGGAAGAAAAAAACAGAGTCAAAATCTTGAAGAAAGAAAAAAGTCAATGCATAGAAAAGAAAGAGATCGAGAGAGAAAATGAAGAGGAGGAAACCTGAATCGCAACATACTCAGGCTGCCTCTGTTCTCCTTTCAAGAGATCGACATTGACGGTCTCGAAGTCAACGCCTTTCTCAACTAGCGTCACAAGCGCTCTCTTCGTAGAAGCGTATAAAGGAGCATACACCGTCAACACCATTTTCTTCTTCTTCTTCTTCTTCTTCTTCTTCTTCTTCTTCTTCTTCTTCTTCTTTCTTCTTTCTTCTTTCTTCTTTCCTCTTTCTTCTTTCTTCTTCTTCACTATCAGTTCCGATCTCAGTCTCTCAGGACGTGATTATTATATAGAGGAAGAGGGAACCGGTTAGCTGCGTTTGCGGTCGTGTTGCAGCTGTAAACGCAGTCGCATTTTGTATTTTTTGTTTTTGTATTAAAAAACAGTGTAGGCCTTAATCGTCGGTATCGATGACCGATGAGTCACGTGACTCACGTCGTTTTTGACTTTTCAGGAGGAAATCTCCAACGTGCCATCAAAATTCTGGATAAATGGTTTCAAGGAAAAAAAAATATTTGCTTATTTTAATTATTAAACCTCATAATGCAAAGAGACCACTTGTTTTAAAGAAAACTATTAGGCACTGACCGGGTAAATATATATTCCCACTTAATTCTAATTAGATGCGATGAATGATTCGCATAAAAAGCATTTCCATTTTTTTAGTGATATAAATTAAAATTGTGTAATTTAAGTTGGTTATCTTATAGGGCTTTGTCTCCAAGAGTTTTATGAACTTCTTCTACTCTCAGGGAAGATTTCTATCCTTGCAGGCTTTATATTTGGAAAATGTTTGGTTAATAATAAAATTTAGATTAAAAAAAAAATTAAGAATGTATAATCAGACTTAGCATTAATTAAACAAAGTGAGAGCCAAACTAAAAGGTGGTAGGTTAAAAATTAGGTCGGTAGGAGCAGGAAAGTGTAATTTATAAAATTAAACGTGGTCGAATGAGCCCACTTATTTTTGTTATTTATATTCTGGCAGACAACATTACTTTAAACAACATTATTAGATGGATTAAATAAAAATTTGTTTATAGATTTTATATATCGATCAATAGACCCCAGAGATCCATAAAAGCCTAATGAAAATATATCTACCATTAAAGCATCAGTAATTCAATTGGTGTATTAGAAAATTCCCTTATTAGCTTTACTAAAACTGATTTTTTTTTTTTTTCATTTATCTTCAATAAAGCTTTACATTCTCTTAGGAGTACATAGAAAGTGTTTGACCTTATCCACATTCTAACTAACCTCTGACTGACTCTAACATGTACGGATCCAACATGTTCATAGAGGGTAACAGCTTTGAAATAAATAGAGTGTTGTAAACACTTTTGGTCTCTTTGCCCAATTAAAAAGTCACAATGGCATTTATAGCATTTCTTCTTTGAACATCAAGAATGCAAGCAAAATACAGTCCTGAATGAATATGGTGACAGTGGTAATCAAAGTTCCTCTAGTTAAAAGCCTCACACAAAGAGTTGGAGTTACAAAAGGAAACAGAACAGAGAGGTAACATTGATAAGAGAAGGCATACAGTTCCACTTTTATTAAAAACCTCAAATAAAAAACACAGCATCACTTAGAGACCCAAAAACACAAACAACAACAAGAACACAAACATCATCTTTAAGCCGGGAGTGAATACTTCTCAAGAACCTCCTTCCACGCAGGACGGCTGCTAATATCGTCCCACCATGCACTCACATGCTTCCTATCTTTGATCATGTAAGCCTTCCCTATGGGACCAACCAAGTAATCAGTGAAGGGAAGGTGAGCCAAATCAGCAAGGCTCACAAAATCACCAGCCAAGTACTTGCTCTTTGATAGATGTGCCTCGTACACATCAAGAACAGCCGCGAGTTTCTCTTCGCTCTCCTTGATCAGCTTCTGATCAGCCGGGAATCCCATGACCGACGCGAACATTACGTGCAGTGTTAGGTTAAGTAGCGGTGGGTGGTAAGTGGTTGCCTCCACGTCGAGCCATTGCTCTACTTGGCCTCTGTCTTCCACGGTTTTCCCCAAAAGGTCAGGTCCTTGTGACCTGTACTTCTCAGCTACGTACCTCATCACCGCACGAGACTCTGTCAAAATTTCCAAAATAAACCATCACTCAACATCTCAATCGATACACACAAGCACTGAAGCACAAAACAAGAGCAAGATAACATCTTCTACACATTTCTTATCTCTCCAAACACCTCCTCATATACATGCAAGCAACAAGAAGACAGAAAACATCTTCTACACAATTCCTATCTCTACAATCGAAAGAGCTACACATATTTTTTTTCTTTTCTTGATTAGAATGCTAAAAATTGTAGACAGATCACACTTGTAAGCTAAAAATTGTATCACAATTAAAACAGAACTTATTTGATTGTAGACAGACCAAGTGTTGATCTTCAGTTAATCAGATACTAATCAGAGTTAAAACAGAAGTTATTTGATTGTAGACAGATCAAGTGTTAAACTTCAGTTAATCAAATACAAATCTGAGTTAAAACAGAACTTATTTGATTGGTGATATATTGACCTAACATAAACCCTATAACCAATTGAAAAAAAGTAGATGATTTAACTTCAACCATCAAACAGACCTCGAATCCAAGAATAGATCAACGATCGTTCGCTTTGGGGTTGAATAATTTTGTGAATCAAACGAAAATGGAACTAAGTTGGGGGGTTTTCTTAAGAAAATCGTACCGAAGATTTTGTAGTCTCCGTCGACAACAGCAGGAACGGTACCGAAAGGCTGCATCGGAAGAAACAGAGTAACGATCAGAATCGAGAAACCCATAAAAAAAGGAAGAAACTTTAGAAGCGATCGAGGAAGGAAGAAGAAAGCGAACCTGTAACGCGAGGTAAGCAGGCTGCTTGTGCTCTCCTTTCATGAGATCGACGGGGATGGTCTCGAAGGCAACGCCCTTCTCGACCAGTGTTACCAGAGCTCGCTTCGGTGAAGCAAAGTGAGGTCCGTACACCTTTAGCACCATTTTTTTTCTTTCTTCTCTGTTTTTCTTTCTCTCTCTCTATCTTACTCACACAGTCACAGTTAGCTTGATGGTAAGTGAATATCACAAGTGTCAAGATGTGATTTTTATAGAGAGAAATCGCGACTCCTGGCAAAACGTGGCGTTGCGTCTCCGTCGGTTTTCACTGAATTAAATCTAAAAAATCAAAATAACAAATTTTCACTATAAGCTTTGGTCCAATCAAATAGATTATTTTAAAAAAATATTACGATACATAAAGTATTACTGATTTTCCAACTTTTTTTTTACAATTAATATGCCATTACATTTCCGTTTGTATAAATGTTTTAAATTTGGTTGTAAAGTTGATTAACTATGCTTTCATTTATTTAAAGAGAAAAGAAGAGATGTTAGAAAAAGAAAGGAAGAAAAAAAATATTCGAAGGTAGAAAGACATAGAGAAGGAAACAAGGATGTGTGGTTTGAAGAAGGTAGGTGGAGAGCCAAAGTAAAACGTGAGAGAATGAGCCCAACCGTTTATTGAACCATTGAACCACATGCCTCAATTGGTTCTTTTGGTAGGTGTGTCTGACTTGACTTGTAGATATTTTTGGTGGTTTATGGAATACAGTAAATACTATGCAAACTTTAATATCCATAATCTTATTCATTGTTCATTTATCTTTTTCGATTTTGATGTAGATTGACATTGTTTTTTATTAGTTTAAAAGATAACATTTCTTAATCTACTACTTTTAGAATATATATTCTGAATATTGGCCAATTATTTTAGATTGAATTATTCAGCCGAAAAAAAGGGTTTACAAATAAGGGGGGAACAAATAATTATGATATATAAACATGTCAACAAAATGCTAAAATTAAAAAGACCTGGCAGGAAATCACTCATTAGTCACTTTACATACAACCCAAATGACACGCAATTTTACAAACCTCCTTTAATATATTAAATATGTAGATATTATTATTTTATGCACAGTAGTAAACATCGTGGGGATGTAGCTCAGATGGTAGAGCGCTCGCTTAGCATGCGAGAGGTACGGGGATCGATACCCCGCATCTCCATTTTTTCATTTTCTGCTCCATTTTCGATTTTTTTTTTTTTTAAGTTCAGTTTGTTACTCTGTGAAAAGTGAAAACGTCTAACCATTGAAGTGAAGAATCTTTTGTCCGTTTCGTCCTCTTTTTGATTAATATACACAAAGAAGGCATCAAAGAAAGGTAATAGTCTAATAGATCATAAAAAGTTTTGTCTCTGTTCCATTTCTGGACACACACAGATTTTTCTTTAAAAAAAAGGAAGAAGAAGAAGATGGAAGTCTTTGTTGCTTCAATCCAGGATCTGATAAAAAGCCTTTGGGATTTGCAAACATATCGAACTCTTCTAGGGTTTTTTTGCTTGATTGTTCTGTACGTTATGACTTATGAAAGAAGCTTATCTAAAGACATGTACAAATAAATAATTTAGCTAATGACGCGTTTCTTGACAGGAACGGCATGTAAAGGATTTGTTTTATGCAACGTGAGACCAAAGGTCTCGTCCATGTCCAAATCCTCAGGAACGACGCCGTTTGGAAGCTTCCAGTGAAAGAAATAGAGAAGAGAAGCAACTATGAGAGGAACGGTCTTCATAGCCAGATTCAATCCAGGGCAAATTCTCCTTCCGGCTCCAAATGGTGTAAACTCATAATCTCTACCTCTCACGTCGATTTGGTTCTCCAAAAACCTCTCTGGCTGGAACTCCGTTGGATTCTCCCACACGCTAGGGTCTCGTCCTATGGCCCATACGTTCACCAAAACCTGAGTTTCTTTAAGCACCATGAACCCAAGAACCTCCACGTCAGCTTCCGCTTCTCGTGGAAGAAGAAGCGGGTTAGGCGGATGCAGACGGAAAGTTTCTTTCACAACCGCTTGTAGATACGGCAGCTTTGAGATATCAGACTCTTGAACGTTGCCGTTTTGGCCTATCACACTGTCTATCTCAGTTTGTGTTTTCTCCATCGACTTAGGGTTTCGAAGTAGCTCTGCCATTGCCCATTCCACTGTACTAGAGTTTGTGTCCGTGCCTGCTGTAAATAGGTCCTGACACAATAAAAAATGGTTATTAGTTCCATTATCTTATTATAAATCATGATTATGATCTATCTACAGTAAGGTAAAGACTTACCAAGAGAAAATGTTCAATAACGTTAACGTCGAGTTCTGCTTCATCTCCTTGAGTGAAATCAAGAAGCGCATCCAAGAGATCGTTGTTTAAAACATTGTTCTGTGATGATTTCTCCTTTATTTTAGCATCGATGAATCCACGGAAAACCCTAAACAACCTCTCAGAGCAAACCTTTATAGTCTTCTTATTACCTTGGAGATCAAGAAACCCTAGAAATGGAAAGTAGTTAGCAGCGTCTGGTTTCCCAATAGCTTCCCTGACACCAATCACCGTGTCTTGAAAGTCATTTACAGACTTTTTCGAGTCGTAGTAGCTACCGAGATCGACTGAGAAGAGAATGTTCGATATCATGTTAAGAACTGTGATGAAGGATACACGAGAAATATCAACAGGTTCTTCTCTGTTGCTGCTTTCACTTATGAAGCTCACAAGCTCTTGCACCGCCTTTATCCGCAGATCTTTGGTGGCTTCGATACGTTGCGGCGAGAACAGCTGAGTCACCGAAAGTTTTCTCAACAGCCTAAAGCAAAACGTTACAACGATACATTACGGTTTCGCGTCTTTGTCAAGTTGGTAAGTATAACATATTAGTAAAACCTCTATAAATTAATAATGTTGGGACCATAAAATTTTATTAATTTATCGTAATATTGATTTATCTATAATTATTAATTTATAGAGAAATTTTGATTTTCACCTATAATTTTCTAAAAATTTCTTTCAAATAATGTTATATTAAGAATTTAAATAAATGTAAATGAATCTTTTGATAACAATTATGATTAATAATCATAGCTATTATAATAGGATAGTTTTTAACCAAAATATATATGTTTATAAGTTCAAAATTTATAAAGAATCAAAGTTACTATCCTTAGTATTAATGATGAAGTAAAAAACAATACTTCATTACATTTGGAAATATTTACAAGTACAAAAATAAATATTACATCAAAAAAATTTCAAAAAAAAGATGGAATTCATATCGAAAACCAACAGTAAGAACTAGTGATATAATAAATAAAGAGATGAATTTTAATGAGATTTCAATTTTAAATAAAAACAAATACATTATTCATATTTTAGTATAGTATATTACATATATTTGCATAAATTTATATAATTATTAATTTATAGTTTTGTTGGAACCATATATGTTATTATCTTATTATAGGGATTTCAAAAAAAGTTATTATCTTATTATCTTATCGAATTTGAAAATTTTTTACATTAGCCTGACTTGGAACCGGTCAAAATTATTATTTTATAATAATTATTAATTTATCGAATATTAATTTATAGATGTTTTACTGTATCTACTTCGAAGAAACACAAAATTTCAATAGAACAAATCATTTGAAAATTGTAAATACAAGAATGGAAAGAAAATTTAGGTTTGCGTTTGCATCTAGTAATTTTGCGTTTATAGAAATATAAAATTAAGTTGACCCAAAAAAAAGAATAAAATATTTTAACAAGCAAGCACAAACACAAAATATACAATAAAGAAAACGACATGGCTCCTAATTTAGGTTTATAATTTACAACTAGTTGTTATTATGTAAATAAAATATATTTTTAAAATTGGCAAATGCAACAATTTACATTTGAAACGATCGGGTCTATACTCTCTATAGTAGCAAGTCTTGTGAAAAATAAAAATAAAAATTCGTAGAAAAATAGAAATACCTCCAAAGAGGCGTGGACGGAGGGAGCCAGGCGACAGAAATCTCGTGGTGATTGATGGATCGTATCGAGTTCGTGGACTTACGGCAAGACAAGATTTGGTCGTGTTTTCTTAGAACCTCTCTTGCAGCTTCTGGTGAAGATATAACCACTGTGTTTAAACATCCTAGCTTAAGACTCATGATTTGTCCATAAGTTTTTGAGAGGTTGGCGAATGAACGATGTGGATTTTCTCCGACTAGGTGGATGTTTCCGATGATCGGTAACCGTGGAGGTCCTGGAGGCAACGCAGTTGTTGCCCCACGATAGCTCCGAGGAGATTTTGTGGTGGTGAAGATTAGGAAACATGATAGAATAAAGCAAATTAGGGAGAAGAGAGCTTGTCCTGAGATGATGTCCATATCTGTTTCTCAAGTGAGATTAAAAAACTATACAAATATATCACATATATGTCTAAAGATTGTAAAAGACAAAAAGATATTTGCAGCCAAGTAGTATACATCACGGAGATATTTTAGTATTTATTTTTTTGTTGTCGGCATATTTAAGTATTTTATAAATAATGTTTAAGGTCCACAATCCACCGAGTGTTTCGTAGTTTAAAGAAGAAGTCAAACAACCGTATTGTCACAAAAAGTGAAAAAGTCAAATTATCCTTTTTCCTAATAGTGGTATGAAAGTAAAACAGTCCATAACAGATGTTAACTAAAATGTTTTGAACTCCCCATTGACCTGCACAATCGTTATCACACCCTCCTTACCTTAACAATTTTCGGAAGACCCTTTTTTTGCTTAGACCCTCCTAGTTGTTCGGAGGGTTTGCCTTAATTCATCTCTCTTCATTGAGTTAGTCCCTTTTGGTAGCTTAATTGCAACAGTTTTACAAGAAAGAGTACATTAATCTTTCATTTTCTTAAAATCTCTATTCTTTTAGTGTGTTATTCTCTTATCTTTCACTCTCATTCCCTTTTGATTTGGATTTTTTTGGTCGGCAAATAACTTATACGAATACATGGATCACTCTAATGGATCACTCTAATGGATCACTCTAATGGATCACATATAGAAAGGAAATACGAAATCATGAACCCACGTTTCATATTTTGCTATATAGATTCCTCTACGTATCATATATCGCTCATGAGTCATGAGAACAATAGGTAAAGTGCTATTTTTGCTCTGTACGAAAGCCAATACTTGTCTCAATAAACACTTTACTACACCAAAGTTCAAAAGGAAACGATTGACTTGGATTGCGATGAATGATGCATCTCTGATATAGCTGTGTCCCTTTCAGCCTCTTTTATTATGCCAATTTTCCTACATATTAAAGTGTTTATGCATCATTGATTACTACTATCATCAAAAGTCCAAAATAGTTTCATTTTCGAATTGTATATTACTACTAAGGGAAGGACAAGAGTTTATTATACCTTGAAGGGATGAAACCTTGACCACCTTCTTCTGAAAGTGCTTTCTCCAATCTCTCCTCGAAAGATGTTGCGTGCCAACTCACTTTCTGGTCCTGAATCAAGAAAAGTAACTCCATAAATGAGAGGAAAACTGTGAATAAGCTTAGAGACTCTGAAAGAAAACAGGAGTTGTTACCTCTTTGTACTTGTTTGTAGAGTTTGGTATCCCATTCCCATCCCACCATTTGGGTGAGATTTGTGATTGCTCTTTCTCATTCCAGTGAGCAGCAACCATTCCAATGATAGGCCTGTCCCCGAGAGTAATGGTGGGTAAAGCCGCCATGTTCTTGTTACTCTTCTCGTGACTCTGCTTCACTGTAGGAGAAATATTAGTTTCACATGTCTGGTATTTTTCATCTGAGCTCTCTTCTAACTTTCCCTCGGAAATTGCTGATGTGGGAGATTCATTTTCTGTCTTCTCTTTGCAAGCTTGAACTTTCGCTGGTTGTAGGCTCTCATCTGCATCTTCAGGGAGCTTACATATGGAGGCGTTTTCAATTAGATTGGAAGCTGAATGCACAAACTGCGACCTGATTTGTGTTCTCTTCTCCCTTACTGCTGATTCCATATTTGCAGGAAAGATGGTTCCAGGAGTTTGAATCTCATCAGATAGCTTCAGCGAGGTTGCTGAAAATTTACTTTTTCCATCCTTCTCAGGTACCTTTGAATATGAAGTGCTGATCTGGGAAGAACTAGAAGAGTAAGATTTATCGAAATCACATTCAAACCGCACTGAATTTCTCTTTCCCGTAATGTTTCCAGCTGTGAGTGGCACCTCGCTGGTTCTATCCACCCCATCCCTGAACGTAGTACCAATGCTTTCTTCACCAGCATCACTATATCCAGTAGAGATAATTGTACTGCTTCGGGCATCGGTCATGCAACTGTTATTGACAAAAGAAGAAAAAGAGTAAATTCCATAGAACTTCTTGCGTGATGTAAGAATCATGTTGAGAGAAATGCAGTCATGCGAGTTTTACTCCACCTGCTAGGAGTTTGCTCTGAAACCTCTCCACAGAGCTCATCTGTTTTCTCATCCAAGTGAAACGCTGCATCAGAGTTACTGGAAGTCCATGAATGAAGTTGGGAAGATGTAAAATGTTTTGCACGTTCAGGAGTTTCCAGTTTTTCGGATGCTTTCCTAATTTCAATCGGTGTCACTACTGTTGTGCCGCAAGGTTTAAGAAATTGAGCCTGTTCTTCACAAGTGAATCAAAGAAGGTTAGATTCTCATTTTGAATGAACCAGAAATCAAATTCTATTGATATATGCAAAAAAGATTCTTGCCAAGGTCTATCAAGATTTTCTAACAATAGGAGAGTTAGTCAAACGAAATTTCAGATACTTTCCTAAGTAAAGATGAAGACACACTAACGCCAGTGCGCATATTTCCACACGCTTTCACACAACGAAGCATTGATACATAAGCTACACTCATCTAAATAAGCATCTGTGTCAATATTTTCTTTACAAAGAATTGAGTTCTAAACACCAACAGCTGAAATAAGTGAGCAGAAAAAACAAGAGGGAACAAATAATCAAATGTAAAGTAAGGAGAAAGATAAAAGAAACGAAGACAATGGCTGTGAAAAGTTTCAAAGCATTCCTGATAGAAACAAAGCTCTAGACCAATTCAATAACATGATTCATCAAACGCTTCTTCTCATTCCATAAGCAAGATCATTAGCTCAAGTATCACATAAAAAGCAAGAAAAATGTCTCAAGGAACGTAATCATCGTCACCGAACTATAAATGACTAAGCTAAAGCTTAATTCCAGAATTCCAGTAAAATCGAAAGTGCTAACTGGTTCTAAATGATTGTGATAACAAAACATGGAAGCTAACAGTGATTGCAATCAGACGATTCTTTGGTATGATTTGATATACTAACATACCTCATCCTTGAGACCTTTGTCAATATGCATAAATTCAGCACGAGATCCATCTCTGTCATGACAAGGCGAAGAATCTGCTTTCTCTATAAGAAAACAAAAAGAAAAAAAAAAACAAATAAGACCTTTTTTCAAACCATAAGAAATAGAAATTAAAATAGACATGAAGAAGAGATTATTGAATACCTTCAGAAAGAAACAAGGTCGATAAACGATTCTTCGATTCATGCTCTCTCTGTAATCATCAAAAACAAAAAAAAAAAGATGTTAACACCGAAGGATTTTCCATCAGACCGTAGCCAAAATTACCAAACACCAAAATCCAGCTCAAATTTCTAACAATAAGGTGAAGATCAACATGGGAAACAGAAACGTTTCCACTTCTGAGAAGTTGTAACAGCTGATTTGACACTGAATTTCAAAGGAATAAGATCTGGAAAAACAAGGAAGCGAGAGAATTACTTTGGAAGGTTGAGAAACGGAATCGCTGGTTGATTTCTCAGCTCTGGCACGGAAACAATCAAAGAGGCAACCCATGGCTTCGATGAAATCCGAAGAGGAGAAAGCAAAGCTGCACGGGGAATATATGTTGGGGATTCAGATATCAAGCGTTGCTCATTATCATTATTTGAAATTTAATTGGTGGCAAAAAAGGAACAGCGATGGAGGAACCTACAGAGATTTTCCCGAGAAAGATAGGGAAAGTTGAGAGAGAAAGAGAGTTGGTGGGTCTGAGTCTGATTATTTTCAAATTTGAAATCCCTAAGTACTGTATGATCTTTATGAGAGAGGGAATTACTGTGTGAAATCTTCGGATTTGAAATGGCATCAAATATCGAAGATATAATGATTTCGTACGTTTCCACTCGCGGGCGCGTGTACTCAAACGTGGGGTCGATCCGATCTGGTTCGCTCGTTACAAATATTTTTGTTTTCTGATATTTTTTTTTGAGTCAATTAATTCAACAATAATGAGACGACAAATGACAAAATTCAACAATAATGAAAGAACAAAATCTAGCAAAATGACAAAGAAATTTTAATTTTAATTTTTTTTGGTTACAAAACGAGCAAATTTTAATGCATATCTAGAAGACTAGAAATTTAGTATGAACGTCTTATGATCATTTACTTAAAATAGAAAGTGAAATTCTCTCTCGTTTTCAAAATGGAAATTAAATACAATCTTCTTCCTTTTCATCATTTCCGATTCTATATAGATATTATATTTTTGATAAGATCCAAAGAATCTAGGTTACTATAATGTATATATCGTGTTCAGTACATAAATAACTTCAAATCACATTAACTCATTTGCGTGAATACATTATCTTTATGACGAATCTACATGATTGGTATGGTGTAGTAACCTATTTAAGAGCAACTCCAATGTTGAGACTGTGTTTGAGTCTCTTTGTGTTTTTCTTTTTTATTTTGTTTTTTTTTTAAATGCGAAGGACTCCACCTGCTTCTCCCCTTCCAACGCTGAGACTTCTTTCTCCAAAACAAAATGATACGGGGCAAAAAGAAAGAAAAAATTAAAACACTTTCTTCCATAAATCCAGCCACTCACCATCTGCCATGTCATCAACGATCCTCCTTTGAGACGGGCTCGTCAATCTCTTCTGCAAGAGACGATACGTCGAGATAAATGAGCTCAAACTTTTTTTTAATTGCACAACAGTCATTCGGGCCCACTGACGAATCGCAGACGATACGACGTTGGAGATGGTCTAACAAGTCTCAATAAAATCTAATTCGTTTGTTAGTTTTAGCTTTTTAGGTTGGGAAAAATCAAACTGTTCCAAACCGAACAGTTCTAAACCGAATCAAAATTCTCAAACCCGAAATAAGTTATAAAATAAACTGAACCAAACCAATCCAGACCGATTTCCAAATGAAGTTCTTCTATAAATTTTAAGACAAGCTTGAAAGAACATGTTTGTATACATAACATATTTGCTTATTGCAAGTGCAACATTATCAAGAGACTCGAGTAATGGGCCTAAAGAAGATTTCGGCCGAAGCATTGTTGATTGTTGTTCTCAACTATTTAGGATTGGTTTGGTAATTCGAGTTCGGAAGATTGATTTTATTTAATTAAGTTCTCAATTTACAGTTTGTTTAGTTCAAAGGTCTCTCGACGAACTGTGTACAATTATATTGAGGTCTCTATTCTTCGGGTCCGAAAAAAATCCCTTCTACAGTAACGAGCCTTCTAGTTATAGTACATTAGCGAGGAGAAGTTTTAGGGCTTCCCCGTCGACTCTCACCGCCTCTTGTTGCTGGACCTGTCTCTTTATGAGCCGTGCTGTCAGGCCATGCTCATTTCGGCTAAGACTGTCGTAAATTGGAATTAATTGGGCCGGTCTCGGTCTTCAACCGGTCCGAACCGTGTAGCGAAGCGTACCAACAAGCATATTCCTAAGTTTTTACAGCATCTCTCTCACTCTCTGCCCATTGCCAAGCAAATTTATTTTTAGGGTTCTCTTATCTTTTATTTTATTTTTGTCAACAAGGCTCTCTCTTCTCTTTAAAATTAAAAAAAAAATAAAATAACATTTTATGTAATTAATTTAATTCGGCAGAAAAAAAGGAGGAGAAGGCGGTTTATAATGCAAGCAAACTTTGGAAAGGCAAAAAGAGACTCATCGGAAAAAGATCTTCCCTGAATCTCGCTTTAGAAGCCGTACAGTTTCCCCGCTTTCTAGTGTCGTCTTCTCCGGTAGAGAGGCAGATAAAGAGCAAACCCTAAAACGCTATGGGGAACAAGAGGTTCAGGTCTGAAACTGCTGGGAAGCCTACTTCCGTCGAAGCTACTAGGATTTGGGCCTCCAAGGTCATCGAAGACTTCCGAGCCTCCGGTAACGAAGGTGAGTATTCTCCGGGAAACGAAAGTCTTCTTTCGATTCATTTAATTCCTTTCTGACCGATTCTTCCCTAAAATGATCTTATGAGCCTTTGAGCTTGAAGATTGATTAGTTAAAAAGCTCTAATTGCGAATGTTGTACCCTGTTCGATTGAAATGCGCTTCCTTTGTTTCCTTATGTTTGTGTATTGATCGAAATTTATCGCATTGGTGTAGTTTACACGTTTGAGCATAATCTTTCAAATAGCGAACGTGGAGTAATTCATCAGATGTGCCGGAAAATGGGTATTCAATCGAAAAGTGCCGGGTGAGTCACTGCCTTAATTGCATTTTTACAGTGTTTTGGGTTTGAGAAAGTATTGATTTTGCTTATGGTTAAAAGTTCGATTGCTAAGAGCCTAAGACTTGAGAGTATCGTTCCTGATTCTTGTGTATATGCTGGCTTTATAGGCGTGGGGATCAAAGGCGTCTTTCGATATTCAAAAGCAAGCACAGAAATGGAAAGAACAAAGAGTCTATGAAGAAATCAAATAGAGAGAAGCTCAAATGTGTCTCGTTCCCGCCAGAGGCTGATGCTATTCTGCAGGAGTTATTTACTCACTACCCACCTTGTGATGGAGATACTGCTGCAACATCGTTCAATAAGTACTCAGGGAAATCCGGTAAACAAGGGCAATGGAAAGATGATTTTTTCCGGAAGCCACAGATTAGCGGTGACGAGATCCTTGAAAAGGTGGCATCTTTGAGTTCTAGGCTTAGGAAGGATAAAGCGCTTCAGGAGGTAAGCAATATTCAATTGTTGAGATGTTTTTAGTTTCTTTGAAAGGACTGTAATTTTGATTGTTGATCCGGAATACAGATTGAGAAGTTATATATCATGCCAAGTAGCAGCAAGTGAAAGGAACTTTGTTTTTTTTTTTGTATTGATTTATGTTACAGATCTCTAAGCTGCGGTCAAAGCTTCCCATCACATCTTTTAGAGATGCAATTACATCTGCAGTAGAATCCAATCAGGTTCTGTGCATTTTTTATATATATATATATAATGTTTTCTTCTGTTTCAGAGTTGCTTCCATTGCCTGAAAAAGAATTCATTGTAAATTCTCATTCTAAATGCAGGTTATTCTCATTTCTGGTGAAACTGGTTGCGGGAAAACTACTCAGGTATTTATTACTCCTTTTCTTTTGTAGCTCAGTAGAATAATCTCCTTACGAGTTTAGTTATTCACCCCTTAGAATCAAGGGTCAGGCTGTCAACTTTCTTGTCCTGGGCCACATATTTACGTAACCTATCAATTTTAGAGAAAGTATGCTGTGTTATAAGGTTTTGCTCAATGTGAGTCTGGGATGTGATATTGGCCATGTAATGTGTTTTCTGTTTGAAATCGCCCTAAAATTTTTTCATTCTAGAGGATTCTCAGGTGTCTCCTTTGTTGATGTTTTAGGTTCCTCAATATCTTTTAGAACATATGTGGTCAAGCAAAAGAGAAACTTGCAAAATTGTTTGCACCCAACCTCGTCGTATCTCCGCCATGTCAGGTTGATATTTATTATTACTCAGATACGTATTCTCGTTGATATTTTAAAAATTTGGGCTTGATCCACATGTATGGTATAATCTGCTAACCCCTTGCGTAATGTTTTTTCGTTCCTATTTTGAAGTTTCTGAAAGAATATCCTGTGAAAGAGGTGAAAGCATTGGAGACAACATTGGTTACAAGGTAAGTAATCTTTTTAGGTAGACACTTGCGTTTGTATGTAAACGGTGGTTGTGTTTCGGTATTGTCGACATGGGCACCATTGACTTTCCGTTGCAACTCCAGGTTCGACTACAAAGCAAAGGTGGAAGGCACTCATCAGTTGTTTTCTGCACCAATGGCATTCTTCTGAGGGTGCTCGTAGGCAAAGGCTCTGTTAGCTGTGTTTCCGACATAACTCACATCATTGTGGTACTTATCATCTTCTTATTTGAGCCACTATCACGTGTTCATTAACTAGGTGTTTCAATATACATTTGCTGAGGTTCGTTAGACAATAATTGCTGGAGGAAATAATTATGAAACTGTGAACTGTCGTTGTCACAGTGACATGCCTTCTTATTATTGTTTGTCATCTCATTTTCTCCATTTTTTCACTTGGGCTGTATATTTGATTCTGTGGCTGTCTACATTAATCAGTGATCTGAATGTTACTTTTGTAGGATGAAATCCATGAAAGGGATTGCTACTCCGATTTCATGTTGGCAATTATAAGGTAGACTTCCTAGCCTTCTCAAACGTTGTGTTTCTCAACCTATCAAGGGTTTTATCAAGCAAGTCAATTATTTCTATGTTACCCTAAGAAACTGCTGTTAGGGCTATTGTTCAATTTATATGCCATACTGGTGCACCTGTATTTAACTTCTCTGAAGCTGCAAGCCATGGCAGAAGATACTATTTCATTATCTTTGAGTGAACAATCCTTTTTTTTTTTTTCCAAATTTGCAGGGACTTGCTTCCATCTAATCCGCATCTTCGTCTGGTTAGTTAAGCTCTATGTTCTTCTTTTCTTTTCACTGCTATGTTACCCTTCAAGAGAAGAAAAAGAAAAGGAATTGCTACAATACCAATTATTGTCGTTTAGTTTTATAGAGGAAGAAAGGGGATATATCAAAGAAAGAGACAGTATGTCTTATATCATTACATCCGCCTCCTTCTCTCCGCTTTTAAAATGTAAAAGAAGACACAACAGAAGTTACGAGAGAAATCTGTTTTTCCCGCTATTTTTGTTTTTGTTTTTGTTTTTGTGAAGTAACGTTCTTAGAGTTTTCAAAGAAACAAACTTTGTTGCTGAGGACAATAGAACTATGACAAAATTGTGTACATCGTCGACGATGGCCTAAGAACTGATGAATTGATATATGTCTTTGAGTATGGCTTGGCGACAGTATTGTTTAGCTGACTTTTTTGAATTTTTTTGGACCAACAGATTCTAATGAGTGCTACACTTGATGCTGAGAGATTTTCGGGATATTTTGGAGGTTGCCCGGTTGTCCGTGTCCCTGGATTCACTTATCCAGTTAATTTCTCTCTTCCTCTCTTTCCAAACCTGGTAATTCTGTTGTGCCCAAGTATAATCTCTTCGTTTTGTGTCTACAGGTAAGAACCTTGTATTTGGAAGATGTGCTCTCTATTCTGAAATCAGGTGGAGATAATCATCTAAGCTCTGCCAACTTGAGTATACCAGACCAGAAGCTTGATTTGACGAATGAAGATAAACTTGCTTTAGATGAAGCAATCACCTTGGCTTGGACAAATGATGAGTTCGATGCCCTCTTAGATCTAGTTTCTTCTCGAGGAAGTCCCGAGATCTACAATTATCAGCAGAAATCAACCTTGCTAACACCACTAATGGTCTTTGCTGGAAAGGGAAGGATCAGCGATGTCTGCATGCTCCTCTCGTTTGGTGCAGACTGGAACTTAAAGTCTAAAGATGGTATGACAGCATTAGAATTGGCTGAAACAGAGAGTCAACTAGAAGCTGCTCAAATAATCAGGGAGCATGTAGGAAATTCGCATTCTCAGCAAGCACAACAGTTACTTGATAAGTACATGGCGACAATCAACCCAGAGCAAGTAGATGTGAGTCTTATACAGCAGTTGATGAGGAAAATATGTGGTGATTCAGAAGATGGTGCCATTCTTGTTTTTCTACCGGGATGGGATGACATAAACAAAACAAGACAGAAGTTACTTGATAACCCTTATTTCGCAGATAGTACCAAATTCGACATTATATGTCTTCACTCAATGGTTCCTGCAGGGGAACAGAAGAAAGTTTTTAATCGTCCTCCTCGAGGTTGTCGCAAAATCGTGCTTGCCACAAATATTGCTGAATCAGCAGTTACCATTGATGATGTGGTTTATGTGATAGATAGTGGCAGGATGAAGGAAAAGAGCTATGATCCTTACAATAATGTTTCAACCCTCCAGTCTTCCTGGGTTTCAAAAGCAAATGCAAAACAGCGTGAGGGTCGAGCAGGTCGTTGCCAGCCTGGCATCTGTTACCATCTCTATTCTAGACTTCGGGCAGCCTCTATGCCAGAATTTAAAGTTCCTGAAATTAAGAGGATGCCTGTCGAAGAACTATGCTTGCAGGTACTGCTCCTTCCATTTTATTTGTTCTTAGTAGCTGTTGTCTCTATGAGGTGATCCATTCGTGCATATGGAGTTTATTGCTGATCATTAGCCTTCGATATTATTTTTCAGGTTAAGATACTCGATCCAAATTGTAAAACAAATGATTTCCTTCAGAAGTTGTTGGACCCGCCTGTTGATCAAAGTATCGCAAATGCCTTGAGCATCCTACAGGACATCGGGGCACTGACACCCGAGGAAGAGCTGACAGAACTTGGAGAGAAATTTGGTCATCTCCCAGTTCATCCTCTGATATGCAAAATGCTTTTCTTCGCTGTATTAGTAAACTGTCTGGATCCAGCACTCACTCTGGCATGTGCAGCTGACTACAAGGAACCGTTTACCATGCCTATGTCGCCAGTTGAAAGACAGAAAGCTGCTGCTGCAAAACTTGAACTTGCGTCTCTCTGTGGAGGTGACAGTGATCACCTAGCAGTTGTTGCTGCGTTTGAGTGTTGGAGAAACGCAAAAGAAAGAGGTCTTTCGGCAGAGTTTTGCTCTCAGTACTTTGTTTCCCCAAGTGCTATGAAGATGTTGGATCAAATGCGTAGCCAACTTGAGTCAGAACTAAAAAGACACGGGATTATTCCTGGTGACATCACAAGTTGTAGCCAGAATTCGCGTGATCCTGGTATACTCCGTGCTGTCCTAGCGGTAGGATTGTATCCTATGGTGGGAAGATTGTGCCCGTCGTTTGGTAATAATCGAAGATCTATAGTAGAGACTGCTAGTGGTGCTAAAGTTCGTGTGCATTCGCTCTCAAACAACTTCAACTTGTCGTCGAGGAAGTATGATGAATCTTTAGTTGTTTTCGATGAGATCACACGTGGAGATGGAGGCATGCACATAAGAAACTGTACTGTTGCTCGCGATCTTCCTTTATTACTGGTCTCAACAGAGATAGCTGTAGCTCCTACAGGGAGCAGTGATGCTGATGATAGTGATGACGAGGAAGAAGAAGAAGAAGAAGATGAAGAAACAGGAGAAGAAGAAGAAGAAGAGGGAGATAATATTAATGAAGACGGGATGGATATACATAAAGCAGAGAGTAGGCGTGGACAGAAAATGATGTCTTCACCTGAAAATTCAGTCAAGTTGGTAGTTGATCGATGGCTGCCTTTCAAAACCACAGCCCTCGAAGTTGCTCAAATGTACATTTTGAGGGAGCGACTAACAGCATCCATTCTGTTCAAGGTGAGTTTATATTCTATTATGCTTAAAACAACTACATACTTGAAGGGCTTTTATTTGATTTGATTTGAATTTCCAACCAATTCATTGGCAATTTATAGGTAAGACATCCACGGGAAAATTTGCCGCCTCATCTCGGAGCTTCTATGTATGCAATAGCTTGCCTTCTCTCATATGATGGTCACGCGGGACTTTCATCTCCACCGGCGTCTATGGGGCCAAAACAATCAAGGAATGAGATGTATGATAACGGAGGATGGGAAGAGAAACCAAATTCTTTCCTCAACTCGCTCTTTTGGTCTCTGAGTCTGAAAGAGAACGAGCCTTCTTCTAGACACGCGAGTAGGAATCGACAGCATGGCTTCAACACGGCTCCAACAGAAGCTGCATCAATGCCTAGGCAGCAAAACATCAAGCAAAGAAAGCCGAAATCAGCCAACGTTGCTGATTTGGGTAAGCATAAAGAGAAAATGTTTGTTAATCACATCAATGGGATCCACCAACCGGAAGCTGCATCTACTGCTAAGCAGTCAAAGCACAAATCAGCCAACAGTGCGGGTAACAAGAAAGAGAACATGCCTTCTGATAAGGTTTTTGGGAATCAGCAACCAAACACAGCTCCAAGAGAAGCTGCTGCATCAGTGGCTAAGCATCAAAGCAGTAAGAAATCCAAGACCAAGTCAGCCAACAACTCGGATCCGGGTAAGAAGAAAGACCGGTATGTTCCAAAGATAGATCTTCATAAAAGGCAACGCGAAGACAAACAAGAACAGAAGGGAAATGCATGAAGGAGCCAAAGTTTTGGTTTTGGGTCCCATGGAGGCATAGAAATTGATGTATATGTAACAATTTATGTTATGTTGGATGGTTCCTCCATTCTATTTTGGTGGTTCTTGGGCCATAGGTTTTTATTATTCTATCATCAACCGGACTTTTAACCGGCTTCATGTTGTGACAGTTTCTAGAGTATTGTAGTTTGTTACTCATCTAGCAGTTTCATCGACTCTTCTAGCAGTTTCATTTACCATAAGAGCATAGAAATTCAACACTGCCACGTGGCAAGATGAGGCACCTATACAACCTTATCAAAACAGAAGATGCCCCAAAATCCAAAATCCAAAAGCAGCCAATGAACAATCTTCACATCAACTTCTCTACTTTAAAAGCACTTTCCTCTCTTTGGTCTTCTTGACTCTTCACGTTGAAAACAAGAAAGAGAGAGAGAAAGAAAGTAATGGCGTACAGCGCAGGCTTCTTGCACCAAAGTGCACTTACCTCCTCAGCTGCACGATCATCTTCCTCTTCCTCGTCGGTTCATCACGTGACCTTATCGAGACCCCTCCATTTAGTATGCAGAGCTCAACAGTCTCAAGAAGACATCAACTCCGCCGTCTCCCGCCGTCTTGCCCTCACCTTCCTCGTCGGTGCTGCCGCCGTCGGATCCAAAGTCTCTCCTGCTGATGCTGCCTATGGTGAATCCGGTACTTATCATACACATCTCGGTCATATAGATAATAGATCATATTCATATCAATTACAATCTTGAAGCAATTTTTCTTGATTTTTATTTTGCAGCAAATGTTTTTGGGAAGCCAAAGACCAACACAGACTTCATGCCGTACAATGGAGAAAGATTCAAAATCGAGATCCCATCGAAGTGGAACCCAAGCAAAGAAGTTGAGTATCCAGGACAAGTCCTAAGGTTCGAAGACAACTTCGACGCCACAAGTAATGTCTCTGTAATGGTCACTCCAACAGACAAGAAAGCCATCACTGATTACGGTTCTCCCGAACAGTTTCTTTCTCAGGTTTCAGCTCTGTTCTTACACCCAAAAATTCAAATCAGATAAGAATCGCCATAACTGTTTCTGGTTTCTCTGCAGGTCAATTATCTCCTTGGAAAGCAAGCTTACTTCGGAGAAACCGCCTCTGAGGTAATTTCCCTTTTTAAGGACTCGCATTATCGATTTAGTAAACAAGGAACAGAAAGCTCAAGAGTGTTGGTACTGATCTATTTGCAGGGAGGGTTTGATGCAAATGCAGTGGCAACTGCAAACATTCTTGAAACATCAACACAAGAGATCGGTGGGAAAAAGTACTATTACTTGTCGGTTTTGACAAGAACAGCTGATGGAGATGAAGGCGGGAAGCACCAGCTGATCACAGCCACTGTGAATGGTGGGAAGCTTTACATCTGCAAAGCACAAGCAGGAGACAAGAGGTGGTTTAAAGGAGCTAGGAAATTCGTCGAGAATGCTGCTACTTCCTTCAGTGTTGCTTGAAACTAACTAAATCGAAATACACTAATGGAATGCTCTGTTATTTTCTTGTCTTCTTCTTCATCGTCTCTTGTATAAAAAAAAGATGGATCAAGAAAACAAAACAAGCATTTGATAACTATGAATTTAAGGTTCTCTGGTTGTTACTATTGTGATGAAGCCTTATCTTTTTTTTACTCTTTTGCTGGTAGATCCTGATCATTTGTGTTATCACATACTTGGAAAATTGCAAAGAAACAAAGAACTCTAATGAAAAGGTTTAACACAGACAAAAAGCTCCGTGGCTTATTCGTTAGAAGAACTTCTGAATATGTTGTAAATTAGCATATGAGGTCCCCACTATACTGAAACATCGGTGTAGCTGAGCTATCTATTTTCCTCTAAATTACGAACCGAGCTCAACCAAAACAACAGAGCAAATGTGTGAGAGTATTGATAGCCTAACAACAGAAATTGTTAACTTGCAGCTATCAGAAATTGGACACAGAGAGCTAGCAGAAAGAGAAACACGCTGCAACATCGGTCAGGTTTCTCAAGGTAATAACTTCACTTGGCAGAGCCTTCATGTCTCAAGAAAGAAGATAAGCATAGTTCTTCCGATCTATCAGCTGTTACCACAGGCAAAAAAGTCCAGACAATGCAGACCCTGTTCTTCATAGCTCACAGACATTTTGTTTTACTGATGTTTCTCATCCACCAACAGGATCAAAATCTGCCACGGAAACTTCAAAACTCTTGTCTGTAACATGTACAACTATGGCAAGATAGTGATGACCGGAGCCACTCATGATAGGGAAATAAAGGTGCTCTAGTCTCATCCCAAAAACTCCAGTGACGGATAATGGAAGCCTTGTCAACATCTTGTTCTCAAAGCTCATGGGGCACAGTTCAACAGCCTGATATACCAAGTAAAAGAAACCAAACGCTATGCACTAACCTCTTTTGATCCTCTATGTAGCCAGTGGTCACGCTAGAAAAAGACACTGAACAAATCAGAACAATGGAATTCTTTACGCAAGTTGAGGTGCATCTGAAGCCGATTGAGTTCGATGTGCTTTTGGAGTAATTTCATACCCATGTTTCAGCATCTTTCCCATCACTTTCTCGGCATTTAACTCCATTCCGTGACTTTTGTAAGCCTTACACATAATTGCGAATGTTTTAGTTACAAGCCCATAATTTGTCTCTCCCATCTCATTTACAACACCTTCCATTTCTTCAAAGCGTTTTTGGGAGCCATACATCATTATCTTACAATGGTAGAGAGATCTACATAGTTTCCAGCCAGCAGACTCGGCACGCTTGACGAAATTAACAAGACTGTCAACTTCATTACACCTGAAGTAAGCTGCAGAGATTGCCCGCATAATGCTCGATTTATTAACACATGTGTTATGCTCAAATGCCTCGTCGATTTTACTCTCCATTGCTTCCAGAATGTCTTCTTGAGCATATAGTCGAATCAAAAGCACATTCAACCAAGGAAAATATTCCTCCCCAGAGAGAAGACTCAATAAATTCTCAATCTTTTCAACTCTACCCTCAAAAGCTTTCTTACAATATGCACAGATCATGGCTCTGACCAAAGGACCTCTGTTTACACCAACCTGATCTTTAATCGATTCATACATTTCTTCCATCTTATTCAAACTCCCTGAATTTGCATACCCCCGAAGCATTAGCAGATACGTTTCGGTGTCAGGCTCAACAGGACCCGTCTTCATTTCTCGAAAAGTAGCTTCCATTTTATCCCAATTCCAGGCAGTCACATAACCAGCGATCAGAGAGTTGTAAGTGCCGGAATTTGGAAAAAGATTTTGTTTTTGTAACTCTTCGAAAGCAGCTTCCATATTCTTTACCATCAGAAGCCGACCATAGACCGAGATCAGAATATTATAAGTCACAATGGTCGGAGCACAATGCGTTTGCCTCCTGAAATCTATGAAAAGTGACTGACACTCCTCGGCAAGCCCGTTGTACATGTAAGCAGCCATCAAAGCATTGTAAACTGAAGTTGTTTGACTTCGTTTCTTCGCCGCATCATTGAAAAGATAGACTGCAAAGTTTAAGTCCCTAGCTCGACCCGCGATTTTGATTCCTTTTGCATACTCTTCCGATGACAAAGGGATACAACAATCTGATTGTCTTCTTCTCCACTCTAAAACCTGAAAATAACATTAACATAACATCTAAACAAACTTAGATTCCTGAACCAACCCAACTTTCTTACACACAAAATCGATCTAATAATGAAATTACTAGAGACATATGCAAGATTCGAACTTTTTTTTTGAAGCTTAAAAAGATGAAATGAAACCTGAAGAGCCAAGTAAGGATGAGGAAAGAGTTGATCCATAAGCTCGACAATCCCAGCACCATCACTATAACTTCTAAACAGCCACTGCCCTTTCTGATTCAAAACGCTCTCGAAATTTTCCTTACTGTTACCTATCGCTAAAAGCTCGTCTTTCAAAATCGAAACCCTTTGGACCAAATTGGTGTGATGAGCAGGCAAGGTAGTCGCACGTGCGAATTTGTTGAAAATTTGACCACTGAAATTCATGAATTTTGATGTCATGGGTTACGAATTCGCCGAGAAGCAGAAGCTCCGGCTAAATTGATAGAGAAGATCGGATCTAAGGATCTGCAAAACTGTGCAGAGACCCCCAAAATTAGGGTTTATGATAGGGGAAGAAGATAACCGATGTGAAATGGTGACGCTTACCATAACTTCGGTTAACTAACACAACTATATGGTAATTGCACTTGGTTTACCTTGTGCCCAACTGATAAATAATATTAAAATGTATTCAAAATCTGGGGGTTTCTTAATAATATTTTGAGAGTTAAGGGTCTTAAAACTTTGACAAAAAGAAAACTGTGGGATTTGAGGGATCAAGTGCTACTCATATGAGTTTATTATGGTTACAACACTAATGGGTCCTTAAGATTTGAGTATATCTCTTGACATATTCAGTATACTGTTATTGAGTTTCCCCAAGATCATATTCTCTTGCCCACACCAAATGTCTATGTCAACACTCTTGTTACATTTCTAAATGATCAGCATTCAGCAGTCGCAACATCTTCAATTTCCCTTTCAATATGTCACTTGAAGCATATTTTTTTATCTCAACAAAGAACTAGGCACACCGACAATCAGCATTAGCTTTTGAAATTGGATCAAAAGCATACAACATAACGACCAGGTAAAAAATTGTCTTGCAAACCAAAATCTCGAGTTAATCTCACATAATCAATACTATGATATCAGATATAAATTATGACGTATAAATGTCTGTCCCTTTTTTTTTTCGATAAATCGTATATGTGAGATGACGTATAAGTTCTATCCGAAATTCAGTATATTCTTGCAAAGGTATTTGCTGCAAAAATTACTTTAAAAAGTATATGCAAAGGCCGAATGTATGAAGAAACTCCAAGACGAGATTCGGTCAAATACTACACCGCTGATTAGTTCATACATAAAAGAAGAAGAAGAAGTTGAGAAGATGAGATACTTAAAAGCCGTGATTAAGAGGTTCTGAGGTTGCATCCTTCTCTTCAAATGATACTTCTTAGACTATTGAGTGAAGATATCATGATAATTCGATAATGGTATATGATATAGCCGCAGGGACAGAGGTAAAATATCTTTATTTCTTTAGCAAATATCAAATTCTTATACGTAAATAACTAAATATTTTTATTATCACAGTTATCATTTGCCAAAGAAATATTTGCTTAAAGTAGCATTTTGTTCACACATACCCTTTACATGTCTTAAGTCAATTTTTGTAATTGAAGTTTGGTCATCATAAACTAAAAAAATGTTTTTCTAAATAAAATCATGGTGTTAGTTATAATAGTTTCTCCGTTTCAAAATATAAGTTGTTTTAAGATCAACTTTTTGTTTTAAAATATAAGTTATTTTTGGATTTTAATGCAAATATTTGAAAAAAATTCCACTTTTATTTTTATTCTTATTCTTTTAAGTAATTAATCAGTGTGAAATTAATAAATAATAGATTGATGAAGGGTAAAACTGAAATTGAATGGTTTTTTTAATTTGAGTGAAAAAATCTACAATGACTTATATTTTGTAACAGAGGGAGTAATTGTTTAAAACAAATAAATTGGAAAAAATTGTAATGGAGGCATTGTTCAGATGATAACCAGTGCTTGGGCAATCCAAAGAGACTCTGCGTTATGGGGACAAGAAGCAGAAGAGTTTAAACCAAAGAGGCACTTAGATTCACCTTTAGATTGCCGAGCAAAAGATCTGAACTACATTCCATTCGGATCAGGGAGAAGGATTTGTCCCGGGACAAGTTTCGCTTTGGGTTTGGCACAAGTGGCAGTGGCAAATCTAGTAGGCCGATTTGACTGGAGGGTAGAGGTTCGACCACCACCGGGGGATCATCAATCTGACATAGCAGAATTGAGCTGTTGGTATTGACGTTTGCCGCAAGTTCCCTCTTATTGCATTTCCACATTCAGTTGTATAAGTTGCTCTCTCTCTCTCTCTCTCTCTCTTGATCACCTATAATTATGCAAATACTAATAACAACACATGTTATAAGTTGATATGCACGTAGAACAATAAGCATATACCTCTTCCGTCTAGTGTATGTTGTAGACTTTGTACGCATATTAATAAAAAGTTTTAAGGTCTCCTGATTGATATACCTTTATATAATTAATTATAAGTTGTTTCAAATATTTTAACTCTATTTAATAGAGAATAAGATAGGAAATGTAATACAAATTTTGCAAATACTTGACTAGCTAGATCAATATATAAATATTGAATAACATGTGTTGAAATAAGTATTATAATTTAGGATGTTGGGATTAGAGTTTCAATGTCGTCACGTAAAGCTTCTGAAAGTTTTCAAACACTTGTGAAATTTTCCAAAAAATTTACTTTTCAAAAGGGACAAAGTGTTTCTAAAAATTTTGTGAAAATTTCTCATTAATTTTAACATCTCCAAAAACTTACGAAAATTAACAGAAAAAAACTTACAAATTTCCGATACTTGGATTGGAAGTGACATAATGTACCCACCGAATTTTTGTTGGTTGCCATCCACATATAACAAACAGTGTTTCTGTCAATCCAGAGGATTTCTCATATAAAAGGTTCACCAATATCAATCTACACAAAGCAAATATCAGATATCCTCTTTTGTTTTATGCTTTGGCTTGTGAAAATTTTGATTCATGCTTATCGAAAGAAAAATTATCTATTTACTTGTAAGAGTCAATTCAAAAATAAAGAATTAATATATGGATAGTTAAATATTTTTAAATAAGCTGTTGCAACTAGACATTATAGGTTAATGTAATTATAATTAAAATCTTAGGACTGATACCATATATACGTTCAATATGTTACAAATTGGACCGAAAAGTCAAACTCTATCAAGATGAAAAAAAAAAAAAACGCAATGCTAAACTACGATTTATAAGAAATCCGAATTGCAACGCCCTATGGTTTACCATTCTTTGTGCTTGATGGATTGGACGCAATTAGTTAAGGACTAGAATCTAAAGAAACCTATTTTATATTCATTTCTATACTCGTTTGTATACATGATGTTGAAATATCACTATATCAGCTAGCTAGGCATTAGGCTATGAATAATAATTGTTGTACAATTCTTTTAGTATATTACGAATTGAAAAGTTCATAGTATGTTCTCATGTATATGTGCCCATACGTACATACATATACACACACACATACATATATATATATATATATACCAATATACCATCCATAATAAATGTACTTACAAATTGGGAAAAAAACATTGTGGTGCTGAATGCTTGTGATCATCTGATGCTCGACTATCTGATTGATAAAGTATACATCGCCAAGAGATCGATTGTTTAATGAGCCAAGTGGTGCGCGACAAACTAGCTTTTTTTATCAATGATCATCATCGGTCATTGTTGGCTAACAGCTAGCTGTTCAAGATATTAACAACGTTCTACGCTTTAAGATTTATAACAATAACAATTGCATATATTTTTGATAAATTATTTCTTTATATACCTCACATTTGAGTCATATATATTAATTTACTAAAATTTGCTGTAAGTGGTCCTAAGAGGCTAAGAGGTAGAGATAAGATAACGACAAAAGGCTGAGCAAAGGACGATGATAATTATATTACATAGATTACTATATATCGATATAATTTAATGTGATATATACTATATATAACCACACACCTTCTGTAAATAATGTAATATATATTATTTCATGAAGTAATCGGCTCACAATACATTATATGTTTACATAAAGCTAGCTAAGTTTCTCAACACTCCAAAGTCAAAAATGTTGTTTATGTAATAATTACTAAAAGCCTGCTTATGACATGGATACAGGCGTCAGGCACGATCTAGTGCTTCAGCTAAATTTAGATATGTGTGTGTGTGTGTTTGTGTGTGGTTCTAAGACAAGAAGCACAATTACTATACTTAATTAAATGACTGTTATTTAAGTTTACAATAGCATACGGCAAAATGCACATGATCAAGCCGCCGGAGCCACATCACAGTCGTCATCGTCATCGTCTCCTCCGTTCTCTTGGCCACCAGTTTGTGAGTAAGGAATCAGCCAAGTCTGAGTTGGCTCGTATAGCCTACCTTCTGCGTTGTTGTGACTCATCACTGCCATTTTTTAAATTAGGGTTTTGTGTGTTTCTGGTTTACTAGTGGATTTTTAGTATTGTTTGAAGATATAAAGCTCATGAACTGCCCTCAATTTATAGCATTTCTAGGTTTACCTTTGTGTTTCATCTTTCATATATTCTCAAGAATAATCAATACAGCGACATTGGGGCATTTTGTGGGGTTATATTTGAACGTTGTAGAAAAGAAATATATATTCACAAGTGATTACAAGATTCTGGTATATATTGGCCAATCTAATTATCACTAGGAATTTTACATCATGAAGGTAAGTTCTAATCAATTGTAAAAATAAATATAATTAGCTAGTCTATATCTAATCATTGTCAGTTTAGCAATAATATGAAAACGTTTCACGGTTTAAGGAAGTCTGATCTGATGGTCTAGAGAAAGTTTTAAAATTTTAAAGAGGTCAAAATCATTAACTGTATCATAGAGTTAGACAAACGTTGACTAAGTTCTCTCATATATTTTTTTTCTTTCTTAATTACACTGACTTAATACTTGATATGACGTCAATGTGCATCCAGCCTATAGTCATAGACACACAAATTTAATCAAGGCACCACATTGAATTGATTATAAACATGCTTAGACACATAAAACGACAGTTGAAATATCAAAAGAAACAAAATTAATATTCTAGAGGTAACTTTTAAACATCTTTTGGTTTCTTTGCCCTTTGTGAAAAGCTAAGAGAGTACACGTCTGACATGGCCACGGTTAATACCACAAGTTAGCACAACGTGGCATGTGATGGCCCACACGTGAGCCAACCTCATGGAAGTTGGTCGCAGCTCACGTTTCACACGTGGAAGGAACAGTTCATGCACACTCTCACGTTGCCTCGCCATGCGCCTTCTTGTAGCGTTGTCTATATATACAACCTCTACATACTTACCATACATGTGTGTGTGAATAATAATATGACTAGTCATATATACTCTACAGATAGCATTTGGGGACGACTTTTAAAGCATAAAACCCTAAAGCTGGTGTCATAGTCTTTCTACTATGTTGGCTACTTTAATTGGAATAATATCTTATATGGAGAATTGAGTCAATGTTTATTCAATAACATATGGGGTCTTTTGTTCTATAACTTTTTTATAACCAAGAAATTTAGGATCTTTGGTCCGTAATTTAATTTGTCTGGTCCAAACACCAATACTTGTGGCGGACCTACAAACATAAATCATATCTTATTTCTTAAATACCGTTTAGATTTGAAACTCATATCCGGTAAGCACACCCCTCTAACCGGTTAAGCCAACCGTATTTGGGTATGTTTTATGTTCATATTGACAAAAAATCAAGTTCTTGGCAAACCAACTAAAAGTATTTTAGGATATGGTTGTTTTTTTACATATTAGTTTCTTTTTCTATCTAAAAGAAAAACAAAAATATATATTTAATTTTTTTTTTGAAAAAGGTTGTCAACGCAAAAGAAAAATATAAGCGGTTAGAACGATTAAAGTTTTGTTAATGGCTAAATGTATGTTTGATGAACTGGATCTCTCTCTTTTTTTTTTTTTTGGCGAATGATTTGGCAATATGCTAACTAATATTGGATCGGGCCGTGGTTCACTCAAAAGAAAATGAACCACAAGAATAATCCTCTACTGGGAAACATTTAGAAAAAAAACAACTGAGAGAACTTATGATTATAGATCACTCTTTTGTGGACTATTAGTTAATTATAAATAAAGATGAATAAAAGTTTGTGTTCTAAAAAAGATGGTGGAGAAAACAAAACTTTTCTTTGTGCTTGTATTTTGTTATTATTGTTGATGTACATTCTCTTCATTACAACCATCTATTTATAGATAAAGAGTTAGAACAAAATCAAGACATGTGTAATGGTGATTAGGATATCACATTTTTCTAATACAAATATTAGTGTCCAACCAATATGACAAGTGTCCAAGGAAGTGTAAGAAGATGACAAGTAATAATGTGATGGATAATCACACATTTTTTTTAACACTCCCCCTTGAGTATCCATCACCATTGATGTGTTGCATGTTGCCTCATTAAAACCTTATCATAGAAAAACTCATTTGGGACAAAAAACATAAAAAGGAAAAAGAGTACAACCACGCAACTCCCCCTGAATATAGTCTTCCTTTTATAGATCTTATAGACGTCGCATTCCAATGCTGTGAATATGTTTTCTGAATGTTGTAGTAGGAAGCGCCTTCGTAAAAAGATCTGCAGCATTGTCACTTGAACGAATATATTGAATATCCACTATTTTATTTTTCTCGAGCTCTTGAGTGTAGGAGAAAAATCTTGGAGGGATGTATTTTGTCCTATCACTTTTGATGTAGCCTTCCTTGAGTTGAGAAACACATGCAAAATTATCTTCAAATAATTTTGTTGGCTCCTTATTCATGATTATTCCACTTGCTTCTTGTATGTGATGAATCATAGATCTGAGCCATACACACTCTCTACATGCTTCATGAAGTGCAATAGTTTCTGAATAATTTGAGGAAGTGGCGACCAGTGTCTGCTTTTGAGAACGCCAAGAGATTGCAGTACCTCCAAATGTAAAAACATATCCGGTTTGCGATCGAGCTTTATGTGGATGTGATAAAAAAACCTGCATCTGCAAAACCAACTAAACCGAATTTGGAGTGTCTAAGGTAAAACAATTCCATATCAATTGTTCCTTGAAGATAACAGAAAATATGTTTTATTCCATTCCAATATCTACGTGTAGGGGACAAACTATATCTAGCAAGTAGATTTGTAGCGAATGCTATGTCTGATCGAGTACAATTCGCAAGATGCATAAGTCCACCAATAGCGCTCATATAAGGTACTTCAGGATCTAATATTTCTTCGTTATTTTCACAAGGTCGGGATCTATTTCCGTATCGAGAGATCGATTAACCATTGGAGTACTCAAAGGAGTCCCTTTATTCATACAAAAGCGCTTTAATATCCTTTTAGTGAAATCTGATTGAAGTACGAATACTCCATCTCAAAAATGTTATATTTATAATATAAGACAAACCTTTGTCTTTCCGAGATCTTTCATTTTTTTATTGATTCTTCTATAATCCTTTGTACTTAGGAGGGGATTTTTATCTTATGATCCCATCGATCTTCTTTGCTTTAATTGAACCTGCGCTTCATTTGCTCTATTCACATCAATATGTTCTTCCAAGACATTTATCTTTGATGGAGCATAAACAGTGGGGATGTATGACTTTATCATGTAATCCCATCAAATAACTGGTTTGCCAAATTTTACAAATATATAATTTTATGAACTCTCACGTTGATTGGTAGGAAGATCAAGATAAGCCAAAGTTTGTGTACACTTTTGTGCTATCTTCGGTGATTCTCTAGATCTTCTCCCTTAACGCTGGGAATTCATTTCCATCAAAGTGGTAATCGGCAAAACGTGCCGTACATATATCTCTAGTTACCTGTCCAAGATAGCATCTCTGGAATAATCTCTTTTATTATACTACTCAAAATAACTCTTCAGGAGTTTTGATGATTATCATTCTTTATTTCAATCAAGTAGCGTTCCCGAGAACATATTTTTGATATTATTAATCCTTCTAATTGCTTCTAGCAATTTGATATCCTTTTAGGATTAAATGAAGTCTTTCTCTCAATCTTAAACTGATAAAGGATCTGTAAAATAGTTGCATCTACCACAAGAAAGTATATCTTTTCATATATCATTTTCATTCATCTTTCATATAAATATCCACTTATGTCTCATAAGTTTTACACTTTCAAATATACGGACTACTGGTCCAAATCTTTCTTTACAAGAGATTTGACTTTACTTATACGGTCTTTACCATGATTGGCAAATCATTACTTTATGCATTTTTCAATACATCTTTTGTATCGCAGTTTCGATCCTTATTTCTCATCATCAACTGCTTCATTTAATGCAAAAATATTATCGACGTCGATTTGTATTTGATTCCATTCATTCTATACATGACTCAACTAGTTGAATTCTCTTATCATTACTAAAAACCTAGATTTCTTTCTTTCTCATATCTATGTATTTTCTAGAGAATCATTCCTTGACCTTGCCATTTTATAATATGCTCCTTTTTCTTTTCGAGGATTCTTATGAACCAATATTTCTATATGTGATCTTTAGCCTCTATAACAGTTGATATTGTTCCTTCCCCTGGGGCGTCAATATTAATTGGAACACAACTGGTATCACTTAATCATAGTCAAGTAATGCTTCTAGCATCAAATTTGCTTAACTTTGTAAATAAATTATCTTTCAAACCTTTTAGTGCACATTCTTTCCGAGGATCAAGATAATTCTTTCACTGATTTTCCAGCTGTTTATTTTCTCCCCTTTTCTTAATTGTTGGAAAGACTAACTCACTGAAACCACAGTCTGTAATTCTAATATTATCCCTTATATGACAGCTTAATACATTCACTCATCAAGGGAGATTCATATTCAACATATATTCCTCTTTTGAGTTCCATCATAGATCAATGTGGTGGAGCAACATTATCCAAAACTTTATATGGGAAACATCTGGTTCCTGATTAAAACCAATTTTTTGGGGAGAACTCAAAATTTTTCATTGGCATAATGCGATTCAATGCGGTTTCAATCTACAACCGACTGCTCTACCACTGAGCTACTGAGAAACATCAATTAACCAAATACTTTCGCAAAGATACATAGTGGGTGATCAATCCACAATATCTCTTTGTATATGTACCAAAAATTTGTCTTTTTCCAAATTTATGGAGAGAGAAAGCCGCATTATGAAACTTGCCTTATGTACAACATATAAGAATTTTCTGAATCTTTAATGAATGTCTATAAACTTTTTTTTTAATTCTTTACACATGATTTATCGAATATGAGTTTGAACATGATCTTCTGGATGTTTCACTTACTATGAATTATGGTATTTTTCAATTCTCGCAGAGCTGTGCTTAGATCTGTGGTGGCTTTAGGCGAATTAAAAAAATGTGGCCCTTATAAAAATATAATAAAAAATTATCGTCTTAAACGTATACAAAAATAATAATAATAATAACCGAAACTATAGAAATTCTAAAACATAATTTTTTCTTCCTTTTTTTCCTAGAAAATCATTCACCAAACTCACATAATCGAGTTGTTTCACCAATTCTCTTTCTATAGAAATAATAGCCAACCCGTTCAACCTATCTTGCGACATAGTTGATCAGAGGTACGACTTTATCAATTTCAACTTTGAAAAGCTCCTTTCTGCAGAAGCAACTGAAACTGGAATTGTTAACAAAATCCGATAAGCAATCCAAGAGTTTGGGTAGCCTTGTTCTTTTGTTTTCAAAAAGTTTAACACTTCTATAGGTCGCTTGCAGTCTCTTGGCAAAGTTTGTCTTAGAACTTTTAGTTCAAAAAATAAGCCACTTCCATCAACATCTGAATGATTTCCATGCTTCAGATAGGTTTCAAGATTGGTACAAGAAACCATCAAGTTATCCTCATTTGCCTCTTGCAGTTTTTTTTCGATCAAACAAAAAACCAAATATTTGTTCATACTTCTGAAACTGTTCAAACCTCGTCTGAAGAGAATATAAAGCTTGGTCCATGAGTTGAATGAAGTAAGAAATTCTAAAGTTTTATTCCGGTGATAAATTCATTGTTTCATCAACTCTCTCTGAATCTTCATCAAAATGGTTTTTTCTTCTTATAACACGCTTTGCCTTTGTAGGGAATACAGCTTCATTGTCCATGGATTCAGACAATAGAATAGCTTCAGATTTTGCTCTCTCAAAACTTGTTTCTCTGAACTTTTGGAAATAAGAAATAAGTCCATTTAACTGAGCAATAGCAGAATCAATATTCATGTCTTCGGACTGTAAATTCTTGCTAACGGAGTTAACAGCAGATAAAAGATCATACCAAATAACCATGGACAGCAAGAATTCATAACTTCCAATACCATGTGTTTCACTTGTGGCAAGACATTCAGCATCACTTTGTGCTTCGGGATCATCACTAGTTTCTGCTATATAAATTAAGGCATCTCTTATTTTTGGAGCTTGAAATCTTATTGCCTTAACGCATGCAACATGACTCTCCCAACGAGTTTGGGATAAAGATTTAACTGTTAGTCCTCCCACCATATCCTCAAGTACTTTCCATCGCTTAGTTGAAGATGAAAACAAGCGATAAATACGTTGTATGATCCCAAAAAATGATATAATTTGTAGAATTGGTTGCCATATCACATAAAGCAAGATTGAGGCTATGACATCCACACGGTGTATAAAACGCACGTGGATTGACATCAATGAATCTTTTTTGTACTCGTTTATGTATTCCTTTCATGTTTGATCCGTTATCGTATCCTTGTCCTCTAACATTATCAATCCTCAAAACAAGAGCAACCAACACATCTTGAATCTCACGAAAAAGTCCTCCAGATGTGTCATCAACTTTTAAAAACGTCAGAAAAAACTCCTCTACCTTGGCTGAATCTTCTAAGATATCAACACATCGGATGATGAGGGTCATTTGTTCATGATGGCTAACATCAGGAGTGCAGTCAAGAATGACAGAGAAATATTTTGCACGCTTAATCTTCTTGATGATCAAATCTTTGATCTCATTAGCTAACATTGCTATTACCTCATTCTGAATTTTATTGCTGAGATAATGATGACGAGACTCACCATCTTCAAAACGCCTAAGATGTTCTCTCATAACTGGTTCCCACTCAGAAAGCATCTCAATAAAGCTTAAAAAGTTTCCATTACCGTCTGCGCTTATTTTCTCGTTACTTCCACGAAACGCCAAATTCTGTTTAGCAAGAGTCTTTACCAATGAGAAAATTCTCAGCAACACATCTTTCCAATGACTCCTCTCTTTATTGAGCTCATCTTGCACATGTTTATCAATAGTTTGGTTTTTGTTTAGCCTCATATCTAGCTCCATCCACTGACTCATACACAACACATGGCTATAACTGGTTTCATGCCTATTAAGGCTCCCTAAAATGTTTTTCCAATCTTTTAAGCCTTTAGACGCCAATTGACTAGCATTGTCGTCTTTACTAAATAGCTTACAACAAAAACAAAAAACTTTTTTTAATGTTTTTGAAAACACAAGCCAACGTCTATCTTGTTTCTCACCATTACGAAGTTCTCTGGTATAATATGAATGAGAAAAATGTCTACCACCAATCTTGTCTCTTGGAAATTGATAGCCAATTTCTTGTCGAGGTCCAGGTCCTTTTTCAACTAGAAAATCTCTCTGTTGTTGATCAATTTCCTCCAATTTCCAGGATCATAAAAATCAAAAGTTTTATAATACTCCTTAAATCCAGCACTGTTATCATCTTTTTTCTCATTCTCATCATCAGCTACCTCGACATTCTCATCGTCCTGTGCATTCTCATCTTCTTTCTCATTCACAAATTCATCTTCCGATTCATTCATATCTCCGCAATCAGCCATATTTTCATCAGACCCACCATCAACAAATTTTTGAGGATGTTCGATTCCATCAGATTTTTCACTAGCAATCTTAGTTCTTTTTACAAACCTAAGTATAGAACCTTGTTGAGATTTGTTGAACTCCTTGTCTTTTTTCTTCCTTTCTCTTTTTACCGATCCAGGAATGTGTTTTCTTGTTGGCACCGGAGACATCTTCTGAAATTTATGGAAGAAAACAGTTATGCTATGTCTAACCAATTAAATTTCCAACACAATTCAAAAAATTTTAAACTCAAATTCAAACATACTTGATGTCGATGTAGCCACAAATCAGCCAGTTTTGTAAATGTAACCGAGAACCGGCTGACAAACCGGTTTGAATTAGCTACTAAAATCAGACTTTTAAAAATCAGATAAATCTGGAATAAACCAATTAAAACTTTGCAAACCAGTGATTAAACCGATGAATCCGGTCAAACACAAACTTTGTTTTGAAAGTTGGTTTTTATACTCAAAAAGATTTGTAATTGATGTTGCTACTTATATTGAAGAAAAATTATAGGCTTCCTCAACGATGTGGGACTTTGTTAATTATGATTGTTTCAAGTTTTTAGTTAAATTTCCTTTTTCAAAATTTTCCTTTTCATTTATAAATATCCATAAAAATAAATATCAATAATGATACTAGTATATAGGCTTTTCTAATCCAGTAAAATTATGGCCTTATTTTTGTTTTTTTTGACTTTTTGGTGGCCGACTTTTTGGTGGCCTTAGGCAAATGCCTAACTCAGCACACATAAGGCACGACTCTGAATTCTCCCCCTCGAGATGATGACACTTCAGATCCATTCATCTTGAATTAAATCTCGTTATATAAATCAACAACATGCCCAATTTGGATCATGTAGCTTCTCTTAGATTCTCTTAATCTTTTGAGACTTGGGAGAGATAACTCATCAATGATTTCAAATCATTCCCATAGACAAATCATATCTGCTCTTCCAGAGCTTTCAGTAGTCTTTATGCTACCTGATATTGTATTCACAATAGCTTATTTCATCATTACATGAGAGAAATATCTCTTGTATGCTATCATCTTTTATTTTTCCACTTCTAGTGAGTATCTGAGTTCTAAAAATAAACTTTCTTATCTCAACCTTGATCTTGACCATATCCATATCCATATCCACATTTATGTTTCTATCTATGACCATTTCTATAGCCACTTCTTGACATATATTAATGTGTGGTCTTTTCTTTTTATTATAGTATGTCACATTTTGGTGATCATATCTTTCTTTTAGATTACTCTAAAGAATTTGTGGATCTTTTGAGTCAAGTACTTGATCTTAAAATCATCAAAGAGGTGATGACACAAAATAATAATCATAAGATTAGATTAAATTCTAAATTAATCAATTTACTAATTAAACAAGATCATACGATCAATATGTGTAATTTTTCATGGTGATGAGAACAAGCATGCATGATTGAAATCTGTACAAAATCATGTCTATGCAAAACTCGTGAGAAATCATACTAAATTCAGAATACATAAATTATATGTAAAATACCTGTTTCAATCATCTATGTGCTCAATTCGTGCTAAAGTGTATTCCATAATTTTCATTTAATGATCATGCATGAATATTTAAAAATAGAGAATCACTCTACAATTATCTTAGCCATGCGAAACCAATAGTTTATCAATCAACCAACTTAACGATTTGCCAATTTCTTAGTAAGCAAGCATGTCTCACACTTAGAACGAAGTGATAACATGATGGAAATATAATAATGCAAAAATCATATGAAACGTGGATATTTAATCAAAGAGATACTATAATCATATTGATCTCTATAACACATTTTAAAAGATATTATAATTATGCCATGAACAGTATGGTTAAATTCGTTCACTTAGACAAAATGTAAAATCAGATAAGTATTCAATATCCACCAAGATTGCAATTAATGCAAAATTTGTTTACTAAACATACACGTCAATACACATATGATTTATAAATACACGGATAATATTAGAATATATAGTACTTGTCTTTTCATATAAGATTTCATATCAAACCAGCGATTGACTAAACCAACTCAAACCAATTATTTATCAAACCAATACTTCTACAGTTGTCCAAATTTTATTCCAAGTTCATCTAACATGAGACTAAAAAGATCGATTGGTTTAATTAAGATTTACTTCATAAACCAAACAAATCATTAACCATGTATGTGAGCATGATTCAACAATGAAGCAATTAAAATCAACAATTGTTCTATACGTGTATCTCATAGATTTCTATGGCTACATTTATTAGACTTATGATTTCAAAATGATGTTATTGAGAACACTGGCTATTGGATTAAATGTTATGAGGTATACTCTTAAAGTTGATATTATAAAATATTCAGTATACTTTATTTATCAAAAGACTATGGATCAAAAAAGTCATTTATTTGAACATAATAAAATTTTACTTTTTTGGTATAGAAACGGATCGTGCTGATAACGTTTTGTAAACTGTTAGTTAATTATAAATAAAGGTGAGTAAGAGTTTGTGTTCTAAGAAAGATGATGGAGAGAATAAAGCGTTTATTTGTGCTTGTATTTTGTTATTATTGTTGATGTACATTCTCTTCATTACAACCATCTATTTATAGATGAAGAGTTAGAATAAAATCAAGACATGTGTCATGGTGATTAGGATATCACTTTTTTCTAATACAAAGATTAGTGTCCAACCAATATGACAAGTGTTCAAGGAAGTGTAGAAAGATGACAAATAATAATGTGATGAATAATAACACATTTTTCTTAACACACTCTTCTTTCTTCTTTTCATCTACTTTTTCTACTTGATCACAAATTAGAGGGGGGAGGGGGGGAGTTAAGGAATATTAATTGGCAAGACTAAAAAAATCTTCTTTTTTGGGGGGGTCAAAATCCTTATCCTAGTCTTCCTAATTTTCTTTTTATATATCTAGACATTATGTTACAGTTACTTAGATTTTTCTATTAGTCCCTAAAGTGTTCTACTTCTACAGTGATATCATGATATTTATTAGATACTTTTTCCATTGTGGTTTTAAGTTATATTCTCAAGTACCTATAAGTTTGGACCAAGATAGCTTTTCTTTGGGTTTGGTCCAATTTGATTAATTCGATCGTTGAGACATAAATACTACTGGATACATAGACGTATCTTAGATAAATGGTAATATTGAATCTGTATTTTGGATATATAAAAATCGTTTAAACGATATATTTCATAGTAAAAAGTTTAGGACATCAGAGGAACATGCCAGAACCTATGAAAGTCGGTTAAACATTTGTATAATAAATATCTTTTGCCTTTGTGAATTATACTCAAGTCATTCTCTCTTTTTTTTTTTTTTCTCAATTCATTCTCTTATTTCATATGGTATCATAATCACTCTTATTTAGGCCGGTTAGGCCTCTATATGAATGTTTCTTTCTGTAAGTTTCTACACTTCAGTCTTGATTGCTTGAGATGAAGGAGAGTGTTATAAAAGTCCCACATCAATAGTTAGTATATAAAAAATAAAACTCAATCTATTATTACCAATCAATTTTGAGTTGGAAGCTCATAACTCCAAATTTAATAATTACCTACATTGAAATAAAATCTCTCTTATAAGACTTCCAGACCACATCTATAATTTCAGTTGTTATTCATTAAGAACAAAAGCATCTTCGACACTCAGAAGCACTTGGTTATATGCTTAAGATTTGTTAGGACATCTCCAACTCACCTCTATTATAGAAGTGAAAATAGAGAATCATAAACTCTATTTTCACCTTTAAAATAGAGTTTGCTATTTTTTTCTCTAAATATAGAGGGATTCTATTTTTTTCTTCTATAATAGAGGTGAACTTTTTTATTTATACAATAGTCCTTCAACTTTTAAATCTTTCCATTTATGCAAAAAATATAAAATTTCATATATTTAATTGAATAAAAATATAATATTTTTGGTTATAGTTTAGAAAAAAATTAAAAAACATATAATGTAATGATTTCTTTAATTTATGAATTTTTACTTCTAATATTATTATAATTTATAGAAACTTTTGTAAAACTTAAAATAAGTGGGGTTAATTTATAATTTTTATCAATCAAAGATTAGTATTACTATAACTATAGAAACTTTTATAAAAAAGTAAAATAAAGAGTTAATTCAAAAATTTTATTTATCAGAAGTTAGCATTATTATAATTTATGTGAATTTTTGTAAAAAAAGAAATAACTGAGGTCAACTCATAAATTTTATTAATGATGGATGTTAAGAATAATTAACAGAAAGAATATATTGAGAATATTTTTTTTAGATGAAAAAATAGCGGTAAGCATTGGAGATAAATACACCTCTATTTTAGAGTTCCTCTATTTTAGAGTAAAAAAATAGAGGCATGCATTGAAGATGGTCTTAAGCATCACATGTATTCATCCTTTTATACAAACTCGT